ATTGTTCAACTTGAATAATTACCTGGCTGGTTTTGAATATCCAGAGCCTTTGAGGGGCATTATGCATAACAATTTGAGACAATAACCCAGGGGTGTCAAACATGCAGCCCACAGGTTGGATCAGGCCCTCGGAGGGTTCCAATCCAGCCGGCAAGGCCTTGGCTGTTCCCTGCTTCCTTTTCCAGTTCTGCTGCTACGTCACAGCTTGCTTTACCAGACTCTCTCAATCGCACAGGAGAAATAAATAGGCAAGCCTCTCCTGAGCAATTGAGAGCCTGGTAAAGCACTGGCTGAGGCTCCTCAGTTTGGTGTAGTGGTTAAGTACATGGACTCTAATTTGGGAGAACTGGGTGTCATTCCCCACTCCTCCACTGCCAGATGACCTTGGGCAAGCCATAGTTCTGTCAGAGCTGTTCTTGAAAGAGTAGTTCTTGAAAGAGCTCTCTCAGTCCCACATACCCCACAGGGTGTCTGTTGTGGGAAGGGGAAGGAGATTGTAAGCCGCTCTGAAACTCCTTCAGGTAGTGAAGGGCGAGGTATATATCCAATCTCTTCTTCTTCCCCCTCCTCTTCCCAGTGGAGGGAGGGAACCAGCCAGAGCTTGCTTCCTGGCCAGGCTGCCTCAATCATATACAGGAGACAAAGGGAAGCCTTTATTTCCTTCCACTGGCTGAGGCTTCTCCCTGGATGGAGGGAGGGAACAAGGGAGAGCTTGCTTTGCTGGGCTGCCTTAATCACATGGGAGAAATACCAGGCACCTTTAAGACCAACAACGTTTTGTTCAAGGTATGAGCTTTTGTGGCTTCCTACAGTGTGTGTGTATTCGGTTGGGCTCCTTATGCCAGGGCTCTCCTTGGTGCAACTGAGTTCCCTCCCTCCTTTTACTATATTCTTGCCCTCATGAACCAGTCTTTCTCAGTAAGAAAGCAATGTGAACTATTTTAGAGGAGGAATAACAAGCCAGTGAGGTGGATTATGCTGAGAGTGTGTGTCCAGACTAGAAATGTGAAGGCCCGGGGAAAAACCCAGAAAAAAATCGGGGGGGGGGGACATTTTTTCCCCCTTTTTCAAATATTTTCCAAATCATTTCTAAAAAATATGTATGGTATCAGATTGATCTAATTTCTGTGCACTGAGGACAAGCAAGTCCTAGGTTACAAACTGAACTCTCCAATGCAAGAACAAGATGCATTTCTTCCTTTAGGAGGTGCTATTGTCAGAAGAAAATAAAATGGTTTCAGTTTTGTTTTTGCATGTGGGTGGGTATTCTGTTTGTTATAATTGTTTGGATACACTATATTTTTAATAAGCTAGTTGTGATAATTTCATGCCAAGTAAAAATGTCCATAGTCATATTTTATGTTCCTAAAGTAACAGAATGACTTTCAATCTAGAAAAGACAAAAGAAGTGCTAATGTAGCATTTTTTTCAATTTTTCCAAAAATTTCTGTTTTTTCCGGGCTTCAAAATTTCTGGAAATTTTACATCTCTAGTCCAGACCAAGTTCACCCTGCACATTTCCTTTGTAGGAAGTTGTAGTTATTTCTCTGGGGAAGACTATGTTTTGTAGACAAACAGCCCTCAGTCTTTGTCAGGATGCCTTCTTGTGTTCTTGACCATCACATGAAGCAACTTATGTAAAAAAAAGTTTGCTATGCCCAGCCATTTCATGTTTTCCCTTGGGTCCTAGGCTCAGAACACTGAGCATGAGATTTCTGTAATGAATGTCAGTAAATCAAAAGTAGGTTTGCAGCTTACAGATATACACCTGAACAGCATACTCAAGATTGCTACAGCGGACATTTTGATGCAATAATTCAGAGCAAGAGGTGTCAGTTATCAGAGGCTGTTAAATAGACAAAATATTGCAAAAGTGCTAGTATTTTAAGCATGTTTTATTTTTAAAAAATTAAATATTTCATTGTATTTGTGTCCTTTATAAAGTTTATATCTCCACTACCTGACATTACATTTTATGACACACATGTCCTGGCCCAACAAGGTCTCATTTATGTCAGATCCGGCCCTCATAACAAATGAGTTTGACACCCCTGCAAATAACCAGTCCTTTAGAAACTAATTCCACTTTCACATAGCTCAGACCGTTCTGGATCCATTTCTGATTTAACACTGACCTCTGTTGGTTAAGGACAGCTAGTGCATCGTTCCCTATACAACTAGTAGTGAAGTAGATGGCTTGTACAAATTGAAAAATCAGGTTACCAGCAGACAAGGTCTCTACTTTATAGATACTTTAGGGACTTCTTAAGTGTGTTGAAAACTATGATCTGGTAAGTTTAAAAAATGCAATGATAAACAAAGAGTGAGCAAGCTCCCTGAGACATGGTATGTTTAGCTCTTTAGAAGGAAGAAAACAGAGATGGAGAATTGAGTTGCTCAAGCCCGCAAATAGATTATGGTAAATTGGGATGTTCATGGCCCCCAAATAGAGGTGGTGAGGGAGAAATTGCAAATTGTCTATGTGACGACCTCTTCTCTGGGGAGGTCTAGTTTTACTTTAAAAGTGTTCTTTATGTTTTACTCTGTAAGGTATTCTGGCTGCCACCAGGGAAATTTAGGCTTTCCCAACCTTTTTCTATAATATTTTTCCTACTGGTTTTGGTATTGTGACCCAGGGTCTGGGCTTTCGAAGGACTATGTTTCCTGGGAAGAATTTCGTTCAGAACTTGTGTCTTAAATAAAAGTAGATTTATTTGATGTTCACACACTCTTCCCTCTTATTGACAGGGATCAGGGCATGTCACTTTGTAACAATATTTTCCTTAGGCCATATATGGTTACTGTTTCTTTATGCTTTAACTTTTCATAACACACACAAGACTTCTCTCTCTCAGACCTTAAAACGAACAAACTGCTTAACTCTTTTACTACACAGAACCCAATCTTTCCCTCACAGGGGTGAGTCTCCTTCAACTCCAGAGACAGAACTTAACTCATAGCAACTGCTTTTACACAGCACACTCTTCTGACTGCCTAACTGTTTTACTGTTAAACCTTAACTGTCCTTTCTCCAACAGTCACTCCTGATAGGCATTCAAATCATCCACACCGCATCCATTCCAAAACCCCTCCCCCTCTCTGTCACTCACCAATCATATCACTTACTTGAGTCCAGCACTCTAGATTATCCTCACACAGCCATGCCAACCAAACTTTTAAACGCACACAGTAAAACATGGAATCGTTACAGTCTACATTGCACATGATTCCTTACAGACTCCAAGCTTGTTTCCTCTAATATTAAACTATGGTTAAATGCCTATCACAAAGGCAGCAAAACAGGCACACCTACGGTTCAGGTTGCAGTTTCTGCATGTGTGGCAGACTTCCTAGGCATGCAGGAATTGTAAATTAAAACAAAACCCTCCCACAACCTCCCCTCTCCAAAAAAGCACCTGGCATGTTCTAAGCATGTTTATTGCCCTCACAATGTGAAGAGTCAGTAAAAATGGGAGCTTGGGAGGAGAAAGATATGGAAATTGGCATGCTCAAACCCCCAAAGAGATTATAATATCCTGGAGGAGATCTGGGTCTGGAGGATGTTTCCCAATTGTTTGCTCCCAACCACCACCACCACCACTCCTTCAGGCTCCCAACTTGTTAAATCATATTTTCAGTGAATTTCCCCCTGGGATGAAAGCAGCAGAACTGATGGATAACACACACACAAAATATGTTATCACATGCAGCTGATTACAGCAAACCAAATTTTATAAACAATAACTGTGACACTCCACATATAAATCTACATAGCTTTGATCCATATAAGGTGAGCAGTCTTCTGTTGTTTTCTTATCTTTCCCCTCATTCTCTCTCCTCCCTTTTCTTCCAATTATTCTCTGGCTCTGGGCATTCAGGATTTGCTGTTCTTCTCAACCTAGGAACCTTAGGGTTCCTCCTGCTCTCCCTCATGTTTTATTTTGCTCCTCCTGCCGACCTATCTTAAAATCCCCCCAATTCATCATCTGCTCTCACCTGACATTCTGACACTATCTGTTCATAAACAGTGCCCTTCTAAACATAGCTATAACCTTCTAAATCCTTGGACATCAATGGTTTTAGAAGGGCGTGATTCAAATTAGGATGGCACTGACTGTCTTTTACTGTTTCACACTATGATATTGCCACACTGTTTTTTCATTGGCCTTTTTATTTATTGCTGTCAAGCCACCGCTGACTTATGGCAACCCCACAGGATTTTAATGCAAGACACTAACAGAGGTAGCTTGCCATTGCCTGCCTGTGTGTAGCGACCCTGGTATTCTTTAGTGGTCTCCCATCCAAATGCCGACCCTGCTTATGTTCTGAGACCTGGGCTATCCGGGTAAGAGTAGTTTCCCACACCCGTTACTGTGCGCCTCTTTCTTTGTTCTCGTCTCTGCATTCCCCACCCCCTTCACGTTCAGTTTTTCAAATCCTTCACTTTCTTTTTTCATTCACTCTTCTAGAACGAACCTTGCGACAATACCATTTATTTCTGTCCTTCCCCTGCCCTTGCTGTTCCTGAGAATTGCCTTTCGTATCACAAACTGACTACGTCCAGAAACGCTAAGAATGAATCCACGTGCGCTGCTTAAAACGCTTTTCAGCCCTTCTTCTACTCTCGAAGTGCCTATGTGAAAAGCAGAAAGGCCGTTCTCCGTCACATGGCGGCGGGAGGGGGGTCGTTGCAGTGCGGGGACCCTCGACGTCCCTGTCCAGTCCGGGCCTTCCTATCATTGCCCCATTGAGTCTCTAAAACAGGGACCTCGTTTCGCAGCTTGATATTGTTCTCTCCCTGGCAAAATACACACGAAAGCTGGTTATGGATTTTTAAAAAAATGTTCTTTACCGATGATAAAACCCCTTTTCAGTACTTTGCCTACGTTTTGGCAGGAAGCTATTTCAAATCAGGCACTGAAGTTAGCCTTCCATTCTCCTGATGACGTCAAAGCGCGTCGCGGCTGTCAGACAGGGCTTTTTTTGAAGGTAGACGGCAGCCGGGAAAATGGCGGCGCCCGTGCTTAGAGCACTGTTGCATGGGAAATGGAGCAGCCGAACGTTTAGTACTACTGGTAAGTAATGGACTGCCTTTGCCTCTGAAGTCCTCAGAAGGATGCTTTCTGGTACTCTAAGGAATTTGTTGAGATACCCTGGTGGTGTTGGCCTTCTTTGACACTGCGCTTGAACTAGTTTTTTCGTTGCCATCGTTTAGCATGATTAATTGGTAAAATTAGCAATGGAGCTTGTTTATAATACAGGTTAGGCTTCTTCAGAAGTGGGTGCACCACAGACTAAAAAGGTAAAGGTAAAGGTTCCCTTGCTCGAAAGCCAGTCGAGCCCGACTCTAGGGTTGCGGTGCTCATCTCCGTTTCAAAGCCGAAGAGCCAGCGCTGTCCGAAGACGTTTCCGTGGTCATGTGGCCGGCATGACTAAACACCAAGGCACCTATTTATCTACTTGCAATTTCTTGCTTTCAAACTGCTAGGTTGCCAGGAGCTGGAACTAGAGACGGGAGCTCACTCCGTCATGCAGCAACTCGGGTCTCGAACTGCTGAACTACTGACCTTCCACAGCCTGCAGTTCAGCGTCTTAACCGCTTGAGCCACCGCAGCACCACAAACTACTTTGTAATAAAACAGTAATGAAAATTACCAAGGACTTGTTTGTTAGATATTTTAGCATACAAACCTATGAAGCTGTTTATGCAGATTCAGGTTGTTGATCCACGTCGTTCAGTATCTGGTAGTAGCTTACCAAGGCTTCCGGTGGTGGTCCTTTATATCTTTGCCACTTGAGATATTTCTAACTGGAAGGGCCCGGCTGGGAATTGAATTTGAGAACTTCTTCATGCAGGTGGCTTTAGTTGGTGACCTCCGTTAGGATATAAGCAATGTCCATGCTTCATTATTACTCCTACTGGATTTATCTGCAGCCCTTGATACAGTAGATGATATCATCCTGTTGAAGCATTTGGAGGCAGAAGGTGGTATAATAGAATGTGCCTTGGAATGATTTAAATGATTTTGCATTGATCAGACTCAAAGGGTTGTGAAAATCAGTTATCTTCAGCGTGGGAGTTTGTCCTGTGAAAATCTACAGGACACAATCTTATCCCCCATGTTATTTAACATCAGAGCCAAACTAGACACTATGGTGCCCATGGGTTCAATCTGTGGCTGCTGCTGCCATTTTAGGAAGAATCTGAACTTTTAAAAACGTTGCAAAAGAGGGCCTGTGGCACAGAGGGACCAGGTAATCTTGTCAACCCCCCAGCGTGTCTTTTCAAGTACTGCTGTTTTGGATCAGGATCAGGCCCTCACAGCATTTTTTTAAATGGTAAAATTCTTGCCTATAATGGTGACAGCAGCCACTCATTATAAAAGAGAAAATATTTCAGCAGAGTTTTTTTCAGGGCTCCCTGGTTTCCCAATTTTGTCTCAGAAAAATTGAAAAAAACACCCTATGGACGAATGTATTTCCCTGAATCTTCACATCTTTACTCTTTTCTGATAAAGAAAATAATACACACAAAAAACCTTTATTGGCATTTAAAGCAAAAGACATAATGGAAAGGAATCTAATAGTATAGTGGAAGTACCCTTGAAGTGATTGCCTCTTATTTTTTGTAATTGGCTTCCTCATTTCAAGAAGGTTTTGCCCCTCTTCAGGCACTGGAGAACAGAGGGTCTGTGGGTCAGTAGTGTATTGCCATTTTAATTTTGCATAGAATGATGCTACAACAAACATAGCTGTGTTAGTGACTCAAAATCTAATTCATTAGCTTTCCCCCCCTACCTACTGTTGGGCTGTTGCTAGAACTGTAACATTGAGGCTTATGCTGAAGAAGACAGAGCAGTGTTAAAAACTGATATACTCCATTCATCCAAAGTATGCAACAATTTTCCCATCACCACCCCTTCTGTGTCTGCTGTGGCTTTGCCAGTGTATCTTTTGATCTTCTTGTTATTATTTCCACTCATAATGGTTTGAATGTGGGAGGGCTGAATGTGGACCCAGCTATAATATGCAAATCTATTTGTAAAATACAAGAATGTTTTGTTTTTAGCTGTTCTGTGCAAGCGTGGGGTACCTCTGGGGCCGATGCCTAATGAAGATATAGATGTCAGCAACTTGGCGGCACTGGAAAAGTATCGCAGCTTTAGTCGTTACTTCAAGGTAGCAGAAAAAGAGAGAAAGAAACTTCATTGGTGGCCAACCTACAAGAAACACATCACTCCAAAGCAAGGTAATCAGCTGGATGGGCACATGTGGCTTTGCAGTTTACTGCTGAAGAGGAAATGGCTTTCCTGCCCCTGGAATTCCCCCCCTGGCGCCGCCGAAAGGAGACCGAGAACACCAGAAAACCATAGCCATGGATGCATAGGATGCTTGCCTCTGTCATTATTTACCACAAGAATAAAGAGATCCTTGCATTTGCTAAGCATTGTCGGGAGGATTTTCTTTTAAAGTTAAACCATCCCCAAATCCCCCAAACTCTAATTTCAGGTTATCTTATAATGAAGGCTGGTCCTATCCTTGAGACTTGCACTACTAGCACCTTTCACATGTTCCAGGTACCCAAATACAATGAACTTTCTCAACCCCTTACCCCACTTTTTTCCCCCAAACTGCAGTATAATAAAGCTTTGCAAGTGGACATTTCCACCCAGTATAGTTTAATCTGAACCAAGATTTATTAGGGCTGTGGTCACACGGAGCATTAGCCACGCTACAGAGACGGAAGATAGGCGGATTTTCCGGGCGTGATCACACTGCCACATCTGGGAAGCGTAGAGCTCCCGTGGCGAACCCGAGGCTTCCCGCCGAAGATGCGGGGTAAAAAACTAGTACCTCCGAGGTACTAGTTTCCGGAAACTGCGGGGCAAGGGTGGGTGCCTGATCGCGTTTCCGGTGGTAGGTCGTGGCATCCGGCGCCCGCCCATGTCCCATCGCTAAAAGATTTTTCCCCCCAAGTCTCCACGGGATGCGCACAAGCACCCAACGGCGCATGCGCACACTTCGTTTAAAAACAAACAGTACCCCCGCACACTCCTGGCTCGGCCTGCTCGAGAGGAACTCTTTGCACCAGACGGCGGGGGGGAGGTGCAGGGGGGGCGTGGCTGAAGCTCCTCCTGGAGGGGACCGGACAGAGGACACGGTTTGCATTCCTCTGCAGCCCTGGAAGGGGTTAAACCGGCGGAGGCTTTTGCTAAAGAGGCCAATTCTTTGCCGCGCCACAGGATTGTCCTGTGATTGGCACCTCCCCCCTAACCACGGGACCTCGACGGGACATCTGATCGCGCAGTCGCGCGTTATTTTGCTCCGGGGCAAACAGCCCCCCCGCATTTTCCTGCCCGTGTGACCGGGGCCTAGGGTTGGCTTCAGGCCAGTACTTTGTAATGTCAGGGCTCAGACAAGAGGGTGTTCTGAGCATTGTGCAAAATGTACCTCATCACAGAGTAACTAGAACAAGGAAACTAAAGGCCCTGAATAAAGTTTCCAGTCTCTGCTGTCTTTTTCCCCTCACCACCCAGAATATATGATTAGCATCTTCACAAACAGGCTACAATCTTATTTCTACCTTGGAGGAAGTCTCATTAAATGCAGTGGGACTTATGCCATATAAACTTCCATAGGATTGGATCAAAAGAACTAATCAGTTACTTCCTTTGTTCCTATTCCGTTGAGGTTAGCAAAGGTAGGTGCTGATAACCCACCTACTGCATTTAGGCTTAAAATAATAAAATGCTTCCCTCATTGTTAGGAAGCAAAAAGGAAGATTTTGGAGTTGTGGACTGAAAACTGATGTTAACTGAGTTCCTGCAACAGATACTCTTTGTTTGTTTTTTACTGGGTTATGTACAGATCTGATTTGCTTGCATGTTCACATAGGGGCAATGTTAAGTTGCTACAGACTGTCAGGCAAAGAGTTATTTACAAGACTAACCTAAACCATAAAGCAAAATGTTGGATCTGTTCAGCTTCTTGGACTTTCATGGTTGAATCTTCAGCACAACGAGAAAAAAATGGGTTTATTTTGTATACTTTTTAAAATCTAGATGAACAGGCAAAGATAGACATTGGCCTACCTTATCCTCGTACACAGCGGGCAAACGTACTTAAAGAGAGAAAAGCTATAAGGAGACAAAATTTGACCAATGTGGAATTGGAAAGAGCATCCCGTCTCAGGACACGTATGTTTCCTTGATCCATCTATATCTATTCCTTTGGTATTTGTAAAAGCTTCGCCGATCAGTGTTTTGTTGTACTCTGTTTCTACTTGCAGTGTTGATTCCACTTGATGAGGTCAAAGCTGAATGGGAGAGAACCCGTGGCCCATACCACAAGCAGCGCATAGCAAAACATTATGGACTATACCATGACTTGTTTGATGATGCCACATTTGTTCCCAGAGTTCTTCTAAGAGTGGAATATGACTCTGATGAGGAATATGTTGTGCCAGTTTATCTTGGGAATTTAGTGACCCCCACAGAGGTATTGTACCAAGCACACGGAGTTTCACAGAAAACATAGACTTTGGGCATGTTAAAAGAAATGCACAAATATGAACAGGTCTATTAATAGTTTTAAGAAAAACAGATTCTACTTTTTCAGTCTTGTTTGAACATGCTAAAAACTTTCTTTTTGCTCATCCAAGTGACATGAAACAAATGGTACATTCTATCTGAGATATACATTTATAAGTTTAATCAGACCGTTCACCTAAGTTACCTCAATGCAAACTAATAGAAGTTACAAAAAGTATATTTTTGTGACAACAGCCTTCTGTATTGTATTTCTATACATGTTGCTTGCTGTCTTTCTTCATGTTGAGCTGAATACCATTGATGGTGCAACCAAAGCAGATGCTTCAGCTCCTTGCCCCTCAGTCATGCCTGTTGTTGCTGTGCTAACATACATAATCCATTTTCCCCCTCCCTTCTGGAACTGGGTATGGTGTATCTTGTGCCATGCCGATGCAACATCTCTGAAACGACTTCATTCTGCTATCATGGCTCTATAAAACTGAGACAGTCTCTCTATTGCTCTCTACTTGGGGCTGCCTTTGGTGCAAACCCGGAAGCTGCAGCTAGTGCAGAATGCTGCGGCTAGGCTGCTGATGGGTCTCTCAAGGAGAGACCACATCCGGCCGGTGCTGCAAGCGCTGCACTGGCTGCCTATAGCATACCGGATTCGCTTCAAAGTGCTGGTTCTTACCTTTAAAGCCCTGAATGGCCAGGGTCCAGCCTACCTGAGGGACCGCCTCCTCCCGTATGTTCCCCCAAGAGCGCTGCGATCAGGGAGCCTGGACCTCCTCGAGGTCCCAGGCCCCCGGGACACCAAGCTTGCCCTAACCAGGGCCAGGGCTTTTTCGGTGGCGGCTCCTACCTGGTGGAATGAGCTCCCGGTGGAGATCCGGGCCCTGTGGGACCTTACACAGTTCCGCAGGGCCTGTAAGACGGAGCTCTTCCGCCAGGCTTATGAGTAGGAGCCGCCGCCGCTGCCACTATACCACCACCGTGGCTCGACTTACCATCTGCCTGGCCCTGGTGAGGGCGGATGTTGCCCACAAGAGGAACATTACTCTGGCGTTCCTGTTTTTGTATATCATTTGGCCGCCAGTGAGGGACATCAACCGTCTTGACCTTTTAGAATGTATCTTTAAAATGATTGTAGAGCACCATTTTAGTCTGTATTTATTAGGGTTTTAATGTAATTTATGTTTTATTCTCGGCGCTGCCGCTTGTTTGCCGCCCTGGGCCGTATGGGTAGGGCGGGATACAAATCCCAAAATAAATAAATAAATAAATATTGGGGGTTTATATTCAGTCAGAAGCCCTTTCTCAGTAATTATGTTTTATCAGATTGATGTTATAGTATATTTGATTCTGTGATCTATGCTGCAAAGAGAAAGTGATGTGAGTAGCTTTTTTTAAATTAAATTTTTGTTATAGAATTTTTTAAAACAGAAAAATAAAAGTACAGAGGGAAAAAAGAAGTTAACAAAGCCTATCAATATCATATTTCTCGACGACAAAGACAGATACAATTACAAACGTAATACTTAGTCTAATAATATAGTTACTTACTCTAACATTATAACAAAGTTGAAATTTAAAAATCATATTTTCTATTATCTAAAATATCCTTAATCATCAAATCTGCATAAGTTCATTTTTTTCTTTTTCATGCAAAAAGTCAATAAGAAGTTTCCAGTTAGCCATAAATATAGTCTTTTCTCTAATTGAAGAAGTGAGTTTAGCCATCTCTACCACTTCTAGCGTCCACAGCCACCATTCTTCTACTGTGGGTATTACTAAAGTTTTCGATTTCTGTGCATATAATAGTCTCGCTGCTGTAATCACATATAAAAACAAAGCTCCATTGCTATTTTCCAAATGTTTGTCCATCAGTCCCAAAAGAAAAGCTCCTGGTTTCATTTGAATATTAGTCTTTAAAATCTTCTGCGTAATTGAATGTATTTGTATCCAAAAAAGTTTGGCTTTATTACAAGTCTACCACATATGGTAAAAGATTCCTTCAGTGATGTGAATGGCTTGATGCTGTCTGGACAGAGGAGTGGTTGGCAAACAGGAGACCAAATGAAACTTATACCCCTTACCTTCAGAATCTTTGGCAAATGTCTTAACTGCCTTAGTCATAGCTACAGCTATTTTTCAGGCTCTTAACCCTCCCAGAGTCATATTTGAAGCAGATGAAGGATCCCTGTGGACCCTCCTGTTCACTAACCTGGGTGAGTACAAACTCTTTTAAAGAGGTTTTCATAGCAGGTTATGTAGACTTAGAACAGGAGCAGGATGTTTTATTGCTATGGGGCTGCTTGTTAAAACATGGATTTTGTAGCTGCTGTAAACAGCTAAAGCTGGGTTAGTGGTTAACATAGCAGTGCATGTAGTTATTGTTATTGTATAACATGATTTAATCATGGCCTTTAAATCCCTGATCTGGCAGGGAATGGATCTATTGACAAACAGGTGTGGAAGATTGAATAGGTTGGGGGGGGGGCTTTGACTCTGCAGCAGAGTCTTGGGGTTATTTTACTGGGGGGGTATTACTTATCAACGGTAGCACCACTGCCATAACAGGATTAACTCATACCACAAAAATAAAACCAGTGGAAAAGCAAGGCCCTGGAGCCCTGTTTTAAAGCTGGGGGGAGGGGAGGGGGGAGAAAGAATAATTTGTACAGCAAGAGGGATTTTTCAGCATGGAAGAAGAACTATATAATTCGAGATGTCGTTGAATTTTGTTTCTATATGTGTTCTGCATGCAGATGGACACTTGTGTGACACGAATATGGAGTATGTTCACTGGCTGGTGTGAGTATTGGCTGTTAATCCATCACATTTCTTAGCATCTGTTTTAGTATGTTGATAACCCTGGAACTGAGTCGCTGTTCAGCTACCAATATGGTATTCTGCAGAAATTCAGGCTTGAACAGTAAATAGCTAGAGTGGAATCATGCTAGGCAAAGACAACTACATGCCCACCCACTGCGCCCTCCTGTGTTCTGTCCCCTCCCCCCCAAGTTGTGGTTCTGAGTGTCAATGTATGGGTAGGCCTTATTGTGGCATAAGCTTTGTATGCACCAGAGTCCATTGACAAAGTTGTTTTTGAATTGTACCCTTCACAGGACAAATATTCCAGGCAACAAAATAGAGTCAGGCGAGGAGATCTGCCATTACTTCCCACCATTTCCTGCCAGAGGAACAGGATACCACCGTTATGTCTTCCTTCTCTTCAAGCAGACCCAACCAATAGATTTGACTGATGATATGCGGCCAGTGCCATGGTAACTCTTCAGATTTTGCATAATTACTGTGAGGACATCTGGTGCTCCTATCTCCTTGTTTAAAGTAGGGTTGCCCACAGTTCAGCATATTCTGAAGCTTCGTGTTTTGTTTTTTTAAAGTCCGGGTAAATAACAATACTGGAAGAAAATTGGTGATGACTTGAACAGGACAGTAACGGTAGCTAGAGTGAACAACATCAGCAATCTTTTACATCTGTATTCTTTCTTGCTGTATCTGTCCTCTCAGCCACAGCCTCAAGATGAGAACCTTCAGGACATTTGATTTCTACAAGAAGCATCAGACAGTCATGACACCAGCGGGGCTGGCATTTTTCCAGTGCCAGTGGGATGATTCTGTCACACATGTTTTTCATCAGCTTCTTCGTAAGTATCTATCTATCTAGTACTGCTCAGGGGTCATTTCGTAGAAAAAGAGGTGCAGGAGCTCATTAGCATAACTCATTAGCATAACTTATTTGCATATGCCACACCCCCTGGCATCACTAGAAGTGTGTCAGAAGGCAACACCCACCGCTCAGGCTCCACTGGACTGTTTTGGATTGCTAGCTATTGGGTGGGGGGATCATGCAGATCTGTCCTCGCAGAGGAGGGAGAGCTTGTACCTGAATAAAACTTGGTCTTAAAGGTGCCACTGGACTGTTTTCGACCGGGGGGCCGGGGGGGGGAGGCTCTGCAGCTTACCTGGCTGCTTCTTGCTCTGACTGAGTGCTGCTGGGAGCAGGGGGTGGGGCTTGTTGCATGTGCCCGCCCCCTGGGCTCTTTACTGCCGGAGCTCCGCTCCTGTGCGCTCCTGCAGAAATGACCCCTGGTACTGCTCATACAGCTATCATCTTAAGCAGGAATTAGAACCAAAGAAAATATTTTAAAAGACCTTACTCAGTATTATTTCTCTTATATTTGATTATTGCGCCTATGAATTTTGCCACTGAGAGGGTGACACGATCATTGGTATCCGATAGTAGCCATGACACCTGGGCTCGCACATTTAGCAGTTCCATATCTTTAAGTAAAGGGGTGACTAAATTAGCCCTCAACTCATCGAATACAGCGCACTCCATAATCATGTGTTCAATGGTTTCAATTGTACGATATGAGCATCTGCATGTTCTGTTAGAGTATGAGTTTATTGTATCTGCCCTCCAAAACTGCCGAGGGAAGAACATTCAGTCTTGCCAAAGTAAAAGCTCGTCTTAGTTTTGGGACTGTCAATTGATAAAAATATTTCGGCAGTTGCATCGGGAGGGCGATTCCCAAAGTAAGTGTCGAACATACCCTGCGCGCCCTAATAGACGTACTTGTAACATCCAATTTCCTCCGGCTCACACATTTTTGCCTTAGCTCAGGAAGGATGGCTCCAGAGGAAACTAATTTATGCTGTAGCCAAATCACTCTCTCACAACTTTAATGCCAGTAGCTCACAAAGTAGAATTTTTGCTCGCATGACTTCACAGCTTAGAGGGAACATTGCCTGAGACACATCAAGGAGTAGCCAATAAGCGTCGGAAAAAGTCATACTAGATGGAATTCATTTTTTCAGAAGCGGCCTGAATCCAAATTTCCGCACTGTACAGGAATTGATTTAGAACCTTAGCATTTAATACCTTTAAGGCCGAGGGGACAAATTGGCCTCCTGATGAATAGAAGTATTTTACAATTGTCTTCCCTACTCTCAAGGCTGTGTTCCTTGCTAGATCCAAGTGCGTTTTCCATGTAAGAGATGCTTCAAAGTGGATTCCCAGGTATTTAAATTGATTAACCTGTTCCATAGGTTGGCCTGCTAAGTCCCATTTAAAGATTTCCCCCTTTTTCCTTTTGGTGAATACTATGACCTTGGATTTCGCCACATTGATGGACAAGCCCTCATGATAACAGTTATGCTCGAAATTTTTTATCAGCTTGCGGAGGTCCACTATTGATCTAGACATTATCACTGCATCATCAGCGTATAGAAGGATTGGAACTTTGTGCTTGGATAAATGTGGGAGATGACATGCTTCCTTCAGGATACAGGGTCTGAGGTCATTTATATATAAATTGAACAACAGGGGTGCAAGTAAACATCCCTGCTTGACTCTTTTGTCTAGGATGAAAGGCTCCGATAGCTGTCCTAACTCCCCACATCTAATCCAGGCGGAGGGATGGTTATAGAGCTGTTGAATTAAGTAAAGGAAACGTGGTTCAATGCCATATTTCTTCAGCTTTTCCCATAGCCGGGGTCTAGAGATTGTAACAAATGCTGATTTTAGGTCTATGAAGGCAGTTGCCAACATGCCTTCTCCAGAACTCATGTATTTATCAACCAGGAACTGGAGGGTATGGCAGTGGTCAATGGTACTTGCTTCTTTTCTAAAACCAGCCTGTTCCTTTCCAAAAATATTGTTTCCTTCAACCCAAGATTCCAATTTTTCAAGAAGCATTGCACCATAAAGTTTTCCTGTAGTGGATAGCAAGTTTACAGGACAGTAATTCATTGGGTCTGTTGGGTCCCCCTTTTTGTAAATTGGAACAATTGTTGCACTGCACCAGATTCACGGCATATTTCCCGTCTTGTTTATTTCAGTGAAAAAGGCAGCCAAAATCTGTGCCCACCAGTCTGAGTCAATTTTGAATAGTTCTGCTGGTATTAAATCGGGTCCCGGTGCTTTCCCCTTTTTTTGTTAATTAAAGTCCTATTCTCACTTGCTGTTACCGGGCACCATTCCTTCACACCTGATGGCGATATTGGCTTACCTTCCTGGGTATTTCCATTTCCATATGTGAAAATAGAGGTGAAAAAAGCTTCCCAGATAGTATAAGACCACACTCAGGGGATCTTGAAATTCTGTATTATAACTCTGTGAATAGGAAATGCAAATTCTGCAACCAGACCACATTTCTATATTTAAGCAAATGCATAAAATGTTTTGGTATACATGCTAGTTTTAAAACTTCAAAGTTAACAGTCTGAAATCTTCTCTCTTCTTCTTCTCCCCTGTCCCAATCTATTTTCTGGGAGGAGATGAGAGAGTTCGAAAGAGTATTAGAACTCATGAAACATGAAGAAGCATTAGGGAGAAGGACTATGGGGTGATTGTGTAAACACAGGGCATTGAGTCTCTGCTGTGTTACTGTGCTTCAAGGGTTTACCAGGGAGCTGGCACTGAAACAGTACACTGGAAGAGCAACACAAGGTTCTCTTATGGAGCATACTGATAACAAAAGGCTGAGCTGAAAGGGGGGAGCCCTGTTTCATGGAAATCCTACTTGACATCAAAAACATTTTGTCGTTTTTCCTCAGGGTGGGGAATGGTCTGTAATGGCTGTGGGAAATGTTCCAATGGCCAAGATTGCCCTATGTGATCTATGCAGGACATACTGTCTTCTCTCTGAGTGGTCTTTTATTTGCCCTTATTAATTATCAGCATATCTCTAAATCTGATTACATGGTATCATGATGGTATCTTATTCAGCACATCCTCCCTCATTGGCCAGCCTCTAGAGGGGAATAAACAGAGTAGAAAAATGACACTAGAGGAATGGAGACAGTGGCTGCAAACAACTGTAGGGAAAAGAAACACAGAAAAGGGTAGAACTGAGTATTGGAGGGGGGCATTGGTCACCCACTCACATGGAACTTACTACCTTGTAAAGCAAAAACCAAGAGAATGCTTAGCTAATAACTTCACATGTGAGCTGGAGCCTCCATGCAATCAGCTGTTTGAGTTATTCCTCCCACCTGCTTGGTGTATGGGGATCACACTTTTCCTCCCCGAAATTACTTCAGCAGCAGTTCATGATGCATGCATGCAGACCAAGGTGTCTACCTGAAACTATGTATTAGGTTTCCAATTGTACCTGTATGAATTGGGAACTTTTTAAAAAGTCAGAACCGAGATTCATTGGATTCTATAATAGTTACTAGATTTTATGCTGAAGCCATATTTTGTAACTGGCACAGTTTCAGAGAGCATTTGCTGTATCTAGCTATAATCTGTGCAGAGACATGTAAACAGAGGAGTTTAGCCCAGAAGTTAGGTAGAGACACAGAAGACATAGATAGTAAAATAAATCTGGCCATGGATCAGCATCTGTCTGTAAATAGCAGCTTTGTAAAATCAGACAGGGTCCATTCTGTTCTGAACAAGCATCTGAAACAAACAAATGGTTTGAGGTGGAAGACGAGAGAAGCTGTATGTGCTGTCAGTGGGCTCCTTATGTTGTGGTATCTTTTGACATGGAGGGTGCTTAAGGCATGTGCTTGCAGTGTTTTTAATTTGCAAGATTAACTAACATGCTATCCATCTCTTATAGACATGAAGGAGCCAGTGTTTGACTTTGTGCGGCCCCCTGTCTATCACCCCCCACAGAAGAAATTTCCACATCGCCAGCCTCTGAGATACCTGGACAGGTACAGGGACAGTGATGAGCCAACCTATGGCTTTTACTGACAGGTTTGACACTCTGCTTTTCAAAGGGCCTCTGGCCAAGGAATCACAGTACAGGAACCCTGAGGAACAGTTCATGTGTCTGACTGGTGAACGGCAGTATATGAATCACAACAGGCTTCGTTTCAGATCATCACCATTTCTTATTCACCACTTGGAACAGAGATACAGCTTATGTCCACTGTTGAATATGTATCAAAAAGTTTATCCAGAGTTTTCACTATGTTGAAGCCTACCTGTATTAACAGACCCATGACTATCCAGGACCTGAACATCTGTCCTACATCCTGAGGAATTCAGATACCATTCATAATTTGCTGCCAGCAAATCAGTCTGCTTTATCTCTCAACAGCTGAGCTGTATCAGCAAAATACTTCCATCTGAATTGGATCAGGTGATACACGAAATCTTGCTAAGCATTCAGTCACTGCTGAAATGCTGGACCATGTGTTCTCCTTAAAGTACTGAATAAAAATGCTTTTTTAAAATCATGCTTGAAACAGGCTTGCTTTGGAGGGCCTGGGGGGTGGAGCACACAAGAGCAGTCTTAGACATCAGTCTTTAAATTGTGGGAACTATTCCTATAACTCTACTGCAGGGTTTCCCCAACATGGTGCCTGTAGGTGCCATGGCAACTACTAAGTGTTTTTTAGAAAGTGGGTGGGAGCAGATGAGGCTCCTGCCAAGCAGGACTTCTGATTGGTGACTGGAAGTGCTGTGCAGATTAAAATAATGTTGCTTTGATGGCAGCTGACACTAGTTTTGGTTTTTTAAAATGTATTTATATTCTACTTGCTCAAGGTGGTGAACAACATTTTTTAAAATAATTTTTATTTTATTTTCTACATAAATTCTACAAAACTACACACTAAAATTACAGCTAAACAACGACCATATAATTAATATCTTGTCAAAGCTTTTCTCTTATTCAAATTAAGAATAAAAATTCTATTCTGTTGTTTCAGTATGCAAAAAAAATTAAAATTACTGACAATGCAAGATTATATAATGTAATATAAACATTTCTTCTAAAGTTTAAGCTATTTTCTGCCTTTTCTTCATGTCTTCTTGCTTTTATCGTCTCGGGGTGGTTTGGGTGCTGCCGCTCCCAATTGTGATTCAGATTCTACTTCTGCCATCTACAGATGTTTCGTAGCTTTCCAAGCCATGCTGACTGTCCAGTTCTCCTTCTTCTTCGTCCTCTGTGTTCTTTGTATCCTTTTTGGGTTCCTGATGTCTTTTCAAAAACTGCTTCGCTTTCATAAGACAGTCAATCTTTTCTTTTTTGCCTTTGTAGTTGAACATCAAGCCTTCAGGTAGTATCCATCAGTAGGTAGTGGTATTTTCCCTTAGATAGGTGGTTAAAATCTTGTATTGTTTTCTCTTCTTCCTTATCGCATATGGAATGTCTTTTAGTATTCTGATGTCTTCTTTGATTTTCAGTGTAATCCCAGATATTGCTTTCAATATTGCATCTCTTATAAATCTCTTAGAGAATCTGACGTATATTTCACCAGGCAGGGTTTTTTTCTTAATAAATTCTGAATATGTCTGGTAGATCATATCCATTTCGCTTTGTAATACTTCCGCCTTGATGCCTGTCACTGGTGCAAGCGCTTCACTAAGGATTTCTTTCAGATTCTCAGATTTGTCTTCTGGCACTCCTTGAAATCTCAACACATATGAAGATTTTTTCCATTTGTAGCTGCAAAAGTTGAGTTTTATCTGAAGATCTTTCTTTTTCCACAACCTCCAGTCTTTGGTCAATTGCTTTAGTCTTGTTTTCAACTGCCTCTGTTCTTTTGTTGGATTCTTTTAGCTGTTTTTGTAAAGACTCCAAGGTTTTGCTGATATTAGTCCTGAGCCACCAGAGGTCGCAGTGCAGTATCCAGCATGCCTGCAAAGTCAAAGTTAACTTCCGGTTTAGAAACTGGACGTGTTGAGCTGGCAGTTCCTTGTTGAAGCTTCGCTTTCGCCCCCATCTTTTCAGCCTGATAAGACATTGTTTATGTTTTGTAAAAGTTTGCTTAAGTCTTTAGAAGTTTATTTGCTTTAACGCCTTAACAGTCTGGCATTGTACTGATTAAATTCAGCTGTCCGCTTAAACGCCGCCACTTTCTGCCCCCTCTAATGCTTTTAAATCTTTGCCGTTTTCAAGGGGTGGGTAGCTTCCCCCCCCCCTCCACTTTTTCTTGGGGGCACCCAGGCTGGCATCTTACTCACGCTCTGCTTCATCAGGTAAGAGAAAGTCTTTTTGTTTTCGCCGGGTCAGTTGCTCGTTGGTCCGATATGGTCGTCTCATGCCCAAAATGGTTCCATGGCGGCGGGGACCTATAAAGGCAGGGGGGAGCCTCGATCCTTTGGCCTCAGCCTTGGGAGAGGCACCCCCAGCATCCCAGGCTGAGAGCCCTCTACAAGGGCTCTGGGGGGAGTCCAGAACCAGCCAGACCCCCTCCCTGCTGCCAGGTCATGGGTCACTCTCTCCGGAGCTTTGGAGGAGCATGCCCTCCATCAACGCACCGAAACCGGAAGTCATTTTAATAGACCCACAAATCAAGTTAAAAACAAACATTAAAACAATTCAATACAATTCCAGGTATAATTTCACATGGGGCTAAGAAACCAATTTATATACTTACCCCATGGGGGAAGAGGAAAGAAGAAAAGAGCCAGGTTCAATGGAAAAACGTTGCTGTCCTCAACCATAGGCCTTGCGGAACATCTCTGTCTTACAAGCCCTGTGGAACTGCACTAGGTCCCGCAGGACATGGATGTCATTGGGCAGAGAGTTCCACTAGGTCGGTGCCAAGGCCAAAAAAAGGTCTGGCTCTGGTTGAGAACAGCTGGATATCTTTTGGGCCAGGAATCACCTCTGTTCTATGACTCTTGTCCAGTGTATTTTTAAAAATTATTCCTCCTGTCCCCTGCACTTGGGCTTCCTCTTTGTGTGTGTGTGTGTGTTCTTAGTTCCATCTCATGTGGTGGCCATTTTCTGGTTGCACCCACAAATCTGTGCCAAAATTCCAGAAGTGCCCAGAGGCTCAAAAACGTTGGTTAAGCAGGAATTAGTAGTGCTGTTTTCATCATTGATCTTCTGTGCAGTCCCAAATGAGGACTGCACATGAGCAGGCCAGCCATCAGAGAGGTTTTTACAACTAAAACCTTCCAGGGGGCACTTCGCGCTGCAGCCAGAAACTTGTTCCTGCCCAAGGACCACATGCTCCTGCGCAGCAGCACCCCCACCCTCAGTTCCTCTTTTGCCAATGAAGGAGAAGGTTGTCTTTTGGAATCTCCAGTTTTTTGCATTGGTGAGGAATTGCCTTCCCGGTTCACTGCGGTTGTTCTGGCTTCTGAGTTTGTACCATAGCTCAGCAAGCCCTTTTCAAAAAAATGCACCCATTGTGGGGCAAAGATGACCCAAACTGATGAACACGACCTGTGTCTGTTTTGGGGACAGCGTTCCCACATGTAAGGCCTGCCAGTGCTTCACCCCCAAAGCTGGGGGGGGGCATAAAAACTTAAAGCAGCATTGTGGGAGAAAGCCCTCAAAGCTTCAGAGCCATCTGAAGCAGCAGAACAAAGTTTGAATCCAGTGGCACCTTTAAGACCAGCAAAGGTTTATTCAAGGAAGAAGAAGAAGAAGAGATTGGATTTATACCCCACCCTTCACTACCCAAGGGAGTCTCAGAGCGGCTTACAAACTCCTTTCCCTTCCCCTCCCCACAACAGACACCCTGTGAAGTAGGTTAGGCTGAGAGAACTCTGACAGAAACGGCTCTTTTTCAAGAACAGCTCTTATCAGAACTACAGCTTGCCCAAGGCCATCCAGCAGGTGTAAGTGGAGGAGTGGGGAATCAAACCCGGTTCTCCCAGATTAGAATCCGCGCACTTAACCACTACACCAAACTGGCTCTCGTGGGCAAGCACACTTCCTCAGATAACTTGCATACGAAAGCTTATACCTTGAATAAAACTTTGTTGGTCTTAAAGATGCCATTGGACTCAAATTTTGTTCTGTCGTGAATAAGGAACATCCTCCTTGTGAGAGATGGAAGATGTGTTCTAGTTTCTTACTTTAAATCTCTTTTAAAGCAGCACATGTTTTGAGGCATACAAATATAGATGGAAAACGAGTGTGCACAAGAGCAATGTTTCTCATACCAGAGTGAAGGGTCATCCAGTGAACCGACAGTGGGTTCAGCATAGGCAGAGTATTTTGTCCAAAGTGTAACTAGGGAACTCTGCTGCCAGTTTTGATGATGGATGCTTCTCTAGGTGTCTTATGTAGTAGAAATTCTGGGAGATTTCCAGACACCTCCTTGAGGTTGGCAACCGTGTAATCTGCAGTTGTGTTCCAAGTAACAGCTGGTTATGCTGAATCTGTTATTGTGTTGACTCTACCAGTTTGCGTATGTCTTACTGAATAGAATCTGCTGAGTTGTGAATCCAGCCTTACGTATGTTATCCTCATCAACACTCATTTTGATTGAAGATCAGCCAAGCAGTTTACCAGTGCAGTTTACATACAAATATAAAATTAAAATGCAAGGGTTAATAGTCATAACCTTATAGGTATAAATGATTATAGATAAAAAGTTATTTAAAAGGTCTGAGATATCTACTTTCTTATGGTCAAAGTCTCAGCACAGAATTTGGCCACTTTAGGGGTGGTCTCATTACACTGGTCACTAAGAAGGAGATATGTACAGAATGTATCAGATCTTCCTGGGAACTTAGATAGAACAGGGGTGGGATATGGGAACAAATGTCCTTGTAAAATAAGCAGTTTAATGACACGTGTTTCGCTGTTTCTACTGCATTCAGTGGGCAGGAGCACAGACATTGGGAGTAGAGAATGTGTAAGTATCTCCCTTCCAGGAGCACTGAGGGCAAGGTGGTTAAAGCAGGCCAAGGTGAAAGCTCTGCAGTATTTGTGGAATTCTAGGGCATAAAGATAGCTGGCACAACTATGATTCGTTACCGCTGGATAGGGCTGTGCCTGAGCTCTATCAGCTTGAAGAGCTATGTCTGATTCATCATTTAAGCATCATTTAAGCCAGTTTGGTGCAGTGGTTAAGTGTACGGACTCTAATCTGGGAGAACCGGGTTTGATTCCCCACTCCTCCACTTGTACCTGCTGATGTGACCTTGGGTCAGTCACAAGCTCTGGCACAGCTGTCCTTGAAAAAGAGCAGTTGGTGTCAGAGTTCTCTCAGCCCCACCCACCTCACAGGGTGTCTGTCGTGGGGAGGGGAAGGGAAAGGAGTTTGTAAGCTGCTCTGAGACTCCAAGTGAAGGAGAAGCGCTTGAACCATTTGATACAGAACTCAAGGTGGCATATTACTAAGGGGAAGAACCCAAGAAGTTGTAATTTATTCTCAACTGCATCTACCCAGCCTGAGCGGTAGCTAGTCAAAAGAATTTGGGGGGAGGTTTAATCCAGTTGGGTTGAGTTTTATATTAAACCAAAAGCATATTACTAGGCAAGTGCAGGCTTCAAGTGACACCTGCCCCAGTTCTGTTCTAAGAATTACATTTGGTGTGCAGCAAGGAAAAACCAAATATGCTTCTGAGGTATTCAGATGGCACTGCTTCCAAAGGGGGTGGAACTAATCTGTGAACCATACAGAAGCTGAGGCATCACTTTGCCTTGGAAAACTTTGATTACATAGGGAATATTGAGCCCCCTTTTGAGTAGAAAAATCTCAGGATAGAGATGCCAATCTCTGGGCACTCTCAGTAACCTGGATCATCTGGGCCCTCCATGAACCTGTCGACTGAAATACCTACACCTAGGTATTTGAAGGTCTTCACCTGTTCTGTGTCATGTCCATTGATCTGCCATTTATGTTTGACATATCTCCTAGCGAAGACTAAAATCTTGATCTTTTGGTAGTTCACTGATAGATTTTCCTGTTTGCAGTATGCTGTAAGAACCCGAAGGGCTCTTTTAAGACCTACTTCAGAATAAGATTAAATGGCTGTGTCATCCGCATATAGTACGGTGAATATCGGTCTGTTTGCTAGGTTTGGAGGGTGAAAGTCTGGATTCGACAGAGCTTGAACCATTTGATACAGAAATTAAATAACAGAGGGGCCAGGATACAGCCTTGCTTCGCTCCCCTCTTGCTGGGGACCTTGCCAGATTGGTGGCCCTCTTGCCTGCATCTTACAGTCAGAAAGTTGTTTTCGTGCAACATGCGAATAAGAACAAGTCGTCTGTGATCTATTGAGGATGTGATCTATTGACCCCATAATCTATCCCAGGAGCCCAAAATCTATTGTTATATGCACAGTTTATAAAACACTGTTATGCACTCAGCACTCTGTCTGACTTAGTAGGCTAACCTTAGTGGACTCAGCACCTCTGACATACACAGACATACAGATATGTTGTGCCATTGATGATTCTAATTACAGAAACAGAAATCAATTATGAACATATATTCAGATATTCACTTTGGTTCATTGCTTAAATGCATTCTGGGAAAAATACTAAATGCTGACAGGCAGTAACTGACTGCTTATGACCTTGCTTATAATGGCGAGTTGTAACTGTGCATGTCCCTGATGTCAGGTAGCTTGTGTTAGATGGAAACCATACTACACGATGTACCCATATCTGTTACATTAGAAACTTTTTATCACTTCATAGCCTGGGAAGAAGAAGGCCCATTGTTCAACTGAAGGAGGTATATTTTTGCCTGAGAAAGTCCAACCTACAGACCTGGGCCCAATCAGAATGGTGTGACGGATATATGACAAAGTTTGATGGAACCAATAATTATGATTTATTTCTAACTGTCATAGGGGGTATAAAACTTTATGTCTCCCATTGTAACCTTAGGGAGAGCTGTGGGATCCAAAACTATATTGGATCTGCACCTTCCTCCTTTGTTGATCAATAAAGTACAAGATCTGATTCTGCTCTACAGGATTGTACTGAGTGTTTTCTCAAATTGGGTTGGATTATTTTCTGTACATCACTATCAAAAGCCATTTCGTAATCTACAAAGGCCATATAGAGCACCCCATGAGGCCTATTATATTTCATGGTGAAGTCAGGCACTGATCCAGAGTAGAGTGACTGGGCCTAAAGCCTGCTTGTTCTTTGACTTTAATGTTTGTTCAAACTAACCAGTCCCAAAGCTTCCAGCACAAGTGCCTGGCATAAAGCTTACTCACTACACTGAGCAAGCTAATTGAGTCGTAATCAGAGGGTTGAGATTTGCCCCCCTTTTTATATATTGGGACGATAAAATGATCAGGCCCCAATCAGTGGGGATCTGATCTTGACACGCATCTGGGAGGCTTTGTTAAAGTAGAGAAAGTCCACACTTTATTTACTTTCCTAGACCAATTTGGTTCTTACACAGCCAGAGTCGTCCAGTTCTGCGACAAACTTATCAGGTAAGTAGACTATTTGGTTCTTGGTCTCTAAAATCAAGGCAATTGGTAAATGGTTACTATCTAGATATGTCTCTACCTTTAAGTGGGTGATGGAGTCAAGTAGATCACCAGGACCAAATCAATAGTGCAGGCTCCATGACCTGACCAATAAGTAAGCTCTCCGAGAAAATCTGTGACTGCACCATTCAAAATAAAGAGATCTAGTCTATTTGGGAAGCCCATCTCTTTTCTCACTGTCCTGTCTAGCGTGAGCTTGCAGCTGAGGCAAACGCTTTCCAGGTGTGAGTCAACGCACAGCCACTGAAGAGAGCTTAAATCGTCTTTATTTAAGTTCACATGCATTCAGTAGATCATTTACTCACAATCGAGCTGATAGCTGGATAGAGCGTTACATCTTTCTGATCTAGGTCAATCCTATGGCCGTGGTGAGAAAAGAGATGGGCTTCCCCTCTCCTTGGGGTAAGGGTTGATGGACAAAGAAACGGAAAAGAACAATAAAACTCCTATCTTTGCGCCTCTGAGCTCAGGAAATTACTCTTAATGAGCCAGCCAGAGCTTCTGGGACCCCTAACTGTGGACTCCAATTCCCAGGTGCAACTACTCTTAAAGGTACATTAATGCTGGCTGGGGGCAGCACACTTTCCTTTTCACCTTTGCCTTTCACTTTCCTTCTTTCCTCTGCTATTCTAGAAGTGAAAACGTGGAAGTCTTGCACCTCTATTAACCCTTTCCATGACAAAATGCCTCTGGAACAGGTTGGAATGGGCATTAAACAAACGTACCAGAAGAAACAGTGGGATGTGTAAAAGGTACTCCAGAACAATATTTTGGAAAGCCAAACACAGAAATGTTGTGCACTTATTAACCCATTCCTAGCCAAAATGGCTCTGGAACACCGCGGAACAGGCCAGAACGGGCGTTAAACAAACAATTGTACCGGAAGAAACAGTGGGATGTGTTAAAGGCACGTGAGAATAATATTTTGGAACTCCAAACACAGAAATATTGTGCACATTAAACTGTTCTGGGCCAAAATGCCTCCAGAACAGGCATGAAACAAACAATAGTACCACAAGAAACAGTGGGCTTTCTTAAAGGCACTCCAGAACAATATTTTGGAAATCTAAATGCAGAAATATGTTGCACTTATTAACCTGTTCCATGCCAAAATGGCTCTGGAACACCCTGGAACAGGCCGGAACGGGCATTAAACAAACAATACTACCACAAAAAGCACTGGGATGCATTTCAGACTCTCTAGAACAATATTCTATAAGTTAAAATGCAGAACTCTCACTCCTTTATGAACCCTTTCTAGGCCAAAATGCTTCTGGAACACCACAGAACAGGCTGTAACTGGCATTAAACAACCTATAGTTCCGTAAAAAGTGCTGGGATGCATTACAGACACTCCAGAACAATATTCTAGAAGTGATAATGCAGAACTCTCACATCTTTATTGACCCTTTCCAGGACAAAATGCCTCTGGATCACCCTAGAATGGGTCAGAGTGGGCATTAAATAAATAATAGGCTCCCCAAAGGTTTGTGCAGGTCCCCCCCCTTGTACATCAGTCCACAAGACCAGGTGCAGTATTTAACTAAGAATCAAACAGTGATGTCATTAATGTGTATAAACAACTGCATAACTGGAACTGCCTTAAACATTACTCTCCACAGCCAGTCACATCTGTTCAATCTGGCAGTGGTTGTCCCAGTTTTTCTAACATACATGTTTTCTAGGGTGGCTTGCAGTGATTCTTCTTTAACTGAACATGACAAAGATTGAACCTTCTGTGGTATCTCTGGCCACTGGACTATACCCTTTCTGTAGGGCTACCTGAAATGCAGCGTCTTAATTCAGGCAGTGGGTCAAAATGAAGGTGAGTGCAATAATAAAGGAAATGGGGGATGTCATTAGTGCACAGTGGATGAATGTGAACACAACCAGTGACACAAAAATTGGCTTTGATTGGTTGGAAAGTTGAATGAAGCACTGGTATTTGAAGAGTAATATTGTTTGTTTAATGCCCGTTCTGGCCTGTTCTGCAGTGTTCCAAAGGCATTTTGGCCTGGAAAGGGTTAATAAAGGTGCGAGAGTTCCACATTTTCACTTCTAGAATATTGTTCTGGAATGCCTGTAATGCATCCCAGTGCTTTTTGCGGTACTACTGTGTGTTTATTGCCCGTTCCGGCCCGTTCCAGGGTGTTCTGGAGGCATTTTGGCCTGGAAAGGGTTAATAAAGGTGCGAGACTTCCACGTTTTCACTTCCAGAATATTGTTCTGGGCTGTCAGTAATGCCTCCCAGTGCTTTTTGCAGTACTACTGTGTTTTTAATGCCCGTTTCAGCCTGTTCTGCGGTGTTCTGGAGGCATTTTGGCCTGGAAAGGGTTCCATGTTTTCACTTCTAGAATATTGTTCTGGAGTGCCTGTAATGCATTCCAGTGCTTTTTGCAGTACTACTGTGTGTTTAATGCTCATTCCAGGGTGTTCCAGAGGCATTTTGGCCTGGAAAGGGTTCATAAAGGTGCGAGAGTTCCACATTTTCACTTCTAAAATATTGTTCTGGAATAATGCCCATTCCGGCTTTTACCCTGTCCCATTAAGAGCAACATATCTTACAAGTTCTATGTTCTCTTCCAAAAGCCTTTAAACATAAGGGAATTTCCCCATGGCTTCTGCTATTTGTTCTTGACAGGATAATATTTAATAAAGCAAGCAATGCCTATTATTCCTGTCTCTTTAAGAGCCTCATTGGCAGTGTGCCCTTATTTTTGTGCCTCCTCCTTAAGAGACGTAACAGTTGTGCCAGACTCCTGCACTAGTTTCATTTTCTTTTCCTCTTTGCTGTAGCTGCTTTCGGCAGGATGGCTTCTCGAGGCTCTCAGAAGCTGGAAGATAAGCTGCTATGCTGCATTTGTTTAGATATGTTTGCCACTCCTGTGACTGCACCCTGTGGGCACAGTTTTTGTGAGACGTGCATCAACAGCCACTGGGACAAAGAGGAACAGGGACCTGTAGGCCAGAATGGCTACACCTGCCCTGAATGCAGGAAAAGTTTCTCAAAGAGGCCACAGCTCAACAAGACTGTTCAACTTGACAGTCTTGTAGAAGTTGTCAAGTTGGGAGAATTGCGGGCACCTGAACCAGAGAAGGTAGCAGCAGTTCGTGAAAAGAGGTGTCCAAGACATGGGCGGTCTGTGGAGCTCTACTGCAAGACTGAGAAGCAGTTTATCTGCTGCGTATGCACAGTGAAGGCGTGTCAGAACCACCAGAAGGTTCTGTTTGAAGACGAGCGAAAGATAAACGAGGTAAGCAAAGTAGGAGGAGCAAAGGATTCGCATACAAAACTTTTCAATAATTAGCTGCATGGGGTACCACACCAACATAATTTACAGATTTATCCTACGCAGGGTTAAGAGCACCTAACTCCACACATGAGCAAAATGTTAGTTTCCCAACCAGTGTTCCCTCTAAGCTGAGTTAGTATGCGCTAGCTCACAGTTTTTTAGCCTCCGGCTCACACATTTTTGTCTTAGCTCAGGAAGGATGGCTCCAGAGCAAACTAATTTATGCAGTAACCAAATCGCCCCACTCACAACGTTAATGCCAGTGGGTCACAAAGTAGAATTTTTGCTCACAAGACTCCACAGCTTAGAGGGAGCATTGTTCCCAACCCATTCTTGGTTCACTTGTCCACAGCTTGTGAGAAGGGCAATCAGATTATGTGCAGGGAAGTAAAATACTTGACTTTTTTTTGGGGGGGGGGGGTTTCCTTTGACAGGAGAATTTAAAGGAAACATTGGAGAAAACTGAGAAGATGGAAAAGGAAATCAAAGAAGAAATCCAGAAGCTGGAGAAGCTGACAGTTGGCATTAAGGTAAGAAGTCCATGGACATCACCCCAAGGGGACAAGTACCTTCTCCCCATCCTTTACCTCCCCAGCAGAAATTATAGCTGCTGAAAGAGCAAGTGGCTCACTTATTTTTCTTCCTCTCTAAGAGCTCATGCCTGCAATGCAAAGATTACTTCCTCTTACTTTGCATTCCGCCCAGTGGGGTTTCTCCACACACACACCCCATCAGAGAGAAACATGGAACCTATCCTTCAGAATGAAGACTAGTGCAGGAAATAGCTTTGGAAATTTTCATATATAATCCCTCTCCCTTCACTGTCATGCAGGATTCCTCAGATAAGTTAAAATCAGGGGTTTTGCAAAAGTTCGTCCATCTCAGTGAAGCCCTGAAGGAATGCCAAAGGAAGGCACTGGAGAGAGTTGAAACGGAGCAGGCTGCTGCCCTAAGCCAAGTGCAAGAGAACTGGGATCAGCTGCAGCATCAACAGGCCACTGTTAGTGAGCACAACGAGAAGGCCCGGGAGCTGCTAGCCTGTACTGATGACATGATGTTTCTGGAGGTATCTGTGTATTTGTGGTATAGACGTGTTGCCAGTTAGTATGCAGTTCCTCTGCCTAAACTAGATGACAGGGATCAGGGTGCTTAAACAAGCTGCCCAATCCTCCTTTCTGGATATACTCATTCCATCCTGCTCCATTGGAGAAGGGCTGTACAGAGTAAACCCACTGTGTCATGCTCACATCAGCACATTGCACAATCCCATACACTGATGAGGCAGCGGGATCGATGGCAAAACCCTCCTGCAATGGTTGATGGGGGGGGGGAGATCATAGACAATGGGCAAATGCTTTCTGTTCTTCTCCATGGATAGGGATGAGTTTACAGAGGTCACGATTACATAGCTTGTAGGATTCTGTGACGAGAGGTCTTATCTCAGATGCTAGGGACCAATAACAAGGCAAGCCCATCACCATAATGGGCTGGATCTTATGTTTTTCCCTCCATTGGCATCAATGTGTTTTTGTTGGTGTATTCATCCAGTGTGAGGTGCTTTTTGATGGTGCCAAACATGCTCGCTTCAACACAAGAGTACCTTGCACCTTTCCAACAGAGTGAAAGCTGAAGCTCCAACACAATGTCCTGCTTGTGAACTTCCAAATATATCTTGGTGGCTGCTGTTTGAGATGTAAAGCTGGACTACGTGAAACTCAGTCCTCTTCAGCCAGGCAGTTTTTAATGCTTACATATTTCAGTTGGTCAGCTTTTCAGAGCCTTAGTGCTTGGTAACAGGCAACTCTGCACTGGCATATATTTCAGTTATCACTGTTTAAACAAATTTTCTATCAAAAAATATCCCTACCCTATCTGTTTCCCTGTTCCTGAAGCTTACTGGCTTGTCTAGGTGTAAAAGTGTTATAAAAATAGTTTCCTTAGTCAATGGCTACAACTGGCAACTTGTGCTTACAAACTCTTTTACTCCAGAGGATTATCAGCATCCTGGAGTTTTGTTCCAAACAGAAGCATGATGCAGCCAGAATGTTGTCCAAAGGCAATTCCAGACCCATAGTCAACTAGAAGTTATGTTTTCTGTCCACCCGTTAATACAGAATTCAAGATGGGATTGATTAAGGTTTTTCAAGATTCCACTTTATTTGTGTAGTATAACTAGACAGCGACTGTATGTTTGTCATAGAGGATGCCATATGCTGCTGAGACTGAAAAGAGGCTTTGAGTCACATGGACTCTCAACAAAGAGTACTTCTTGCTTTGTCAGCCGAGGGGGGGAAAGGATTAGCTGAGAACTAGTGGTTAGCAAGTGAGGTAGCTGAAACTTCAGGGCAGAATTTACTGTGAGTCACCCACCATGCCAAACAGGCAGGCTAAAGAGGGGAAGTTCCACTGACTGGGCCTTCCCTTTGCAGAGGAGAGATCTTGCAGTAGGAGGAGGTTCCAGTCTGTGGCCTGCCTTACCAATGAGAGGACACCCATACTTGCACCTCCTAGGGAAAAACATTTGTGGTAGGGATGGAAGGGAATTGCAGTCTTCACTTTGAAAGTGCATACATGCTGCTGTCATTTAACATTGCTGAGTTTTCCCCCATGTTGAACAGTGTCAGATTAGTAGTACTGCTATAACATACTTCCCCCATCAACCTATGCAGGCTGCTTTTGTAAAAATAAGAAAGCTCCTTCCAATATTACCGTTTTGTAGGGCTCTCTGCATCCTTCTCTAGGGTCACAGGCTGTCTCCATTCAGCATAGAAACAGACTATTCTCTCTGTGGAAGGCAGAGGAAAACTATATGACATTCCTATCAAACTCCGTCCTTCTTGTGGAGTAAAACAGGAAAGAATTAATATTAAAGTGCCTCAATTTTTGCCAGGCACAGTACAACTTAAAATCAGCAAGTAACAAACAAGAAAGCAAATGCTCAGCAGTCCAACAAATAAGACTGTACCTCTGAAAACTAAAGAAGGCAGACCTTATGAAGAAACCCCTACACGTGTATCTTGCATTTGCTCATGTGCATTCAGGTTTATGAGCCACAGAGGAAGAGGAAGAAAGAGGCTTGCCTACAGGGATTAGCTGATGTAACCATGACAAAGGGAGCAGGAGGAGAGGGTGAAGGAGGGCACGTCAGAGCCAGAATCCTAGACCAGGAAGAGGGAAGGTGACATATTAAGAGGCTCCAAAATCCATTGCATTTAAATGGCATACAGTCAGCTCTGTCTTCATAGTTAACCAAGTTTTGTGGTTTAACTTTAAAAAAAAAAATTTTTTTTTTCTTGTAGGGATTTCTGGTCCTCCCTACTCCTGGCAGCTTGGAAGTTCCTCCAGCTCTTGGATTTGATTTGGCCGGCAATGTGGATTCGATCACTAAGTTCTTCAATGAGGTCTCCCAGGTCTTTCAGGAAGCTTTGTCAAATTCCTTTAATCCAGAAGCAGCTGACACACAGTGTAATTGTTGTTTTTATTTCTTTGTGTTTCAGAGTCCGAGGGTAGGATGACAGGGGGATCGGGTTGTCAGTGGCTTACTGGAGTTTTTACTGTTGTTATAATAAATCTAGTTATCGATACATTTGTAGGCTAGACTAAAAGGAAAATGGCAGCATTGAGTTTGGAATCAGATTTTTATAAATGAGTGCCAAAATAGATTTGGAAAATGGGCAAGACATCCTTCCAGAGAGCTGCTTGATAGGGCTGCCAAATCCCCCGGGGGGGCGAGGGGTTGCCCGCTTTAGGGGCCCGTTATCCGCCGGCCCGGATCTGGGCGGCAGGGGGAATCCCAGCCCCAAAGTGCCTGGACTGGGCCGATGTGCCGATGTGCAATGACGTCGTCTCGGGGTGACGTCATTGCGCCAGGCACGTTGCTGGGGGGATGCTCTAGCGTTCGGCCTGAAAATCCTATGGCATCGTAGAGTTTCTAGCTGAATGCTTGAGTGTCCCCCTGGCGATGTGCCTAGCATGATGATGTCACTTCTGGGTGATGTCATTGCGGCGTGCACACCAGAAGATCCCGGGAGGAGAGAGCTTCTCCCCCCTGCCAGAAAAAGGCAGGGACCTGTCAACCCTACTTGGTTGAGGTGGCTCATGACATAAAAACAAATCCAATAAAACCATAAAAACCACCACCATAAAACTATCAATGTTAAATCAAGCCATAAAACCAGCATGAAGCAGCAGGTGACAGCCAGTGTCATATAGAGGTTAGACTGGTGGACTTGGATTTAGCAGATCCTCGTTCACATCCCTATGGGTGATCTTGGGACAATCATACACTCTCAGCCCAACCTACCTCACAGTGCTGTTGTGAGGATAAAATGGTGAAGAACAATGTAAGTGACTTTGATTCCCCACTGGGGAGGGAGGCATAGTATAAATAAAGTAAATAAATCTATTTTTTAAAAAAACCCTCTGTCTAGAAGCAGACTACTCAAACAGCTAAAAGATGGCCATTTCAATTAAAAAATCTGGGCAAAGAGAAGTGGTTTCACCCAGCATCTAAAGAACACAACAGCATAGCTAGATGAACCTCAAGGGGGGAAGATATTCCAAAGGTGGGGTGCCACCACTAAAAAAAGTCGTGGCTGTTCTTGCAATCTACCTCAGCTCAGCAGGCAGGGGCACAGAAAACAGGACTTGAGAAGAGGATCGTAACTGGAGGGCTGCACAGTACAGGAGAAGGAATTCAGTCAAATGCCACACTCATAGAACATCCACAAGACTTCCTCCCCTAATCATCGGCATTGATGCAGTCTTTCATAAACTTAGCATGATACATCCTTTGGATGGGAGTGCTCATGTGTATGTCTACTGGCTTCCCTCAATTTTCAACTTTCATTTTCAAAAACAGTTTCTGGTTCTTTTGGCTCTGGAGATATAAGGAGCAAGAGATAGCAGATCATAACAACTGACCAGTACATTATTGTGCTGTAGAGATCTAGTAGTTGCTATTTTTAGAGCCCTCTGGTGGTGGCTATAGGGGCTGAGACAAGGAAAACTCAAGGAAAACTGTGTGTGGATTCTGGTTGCCACAGGAAATGCCTCTTAGGTTTGAGGTGACAATAGTGACACACACACACACACATACAGTCCCCATAGCCAGTCCACAGTGCCTAAACCCTTTACAAGGGCATGTCAAAATCTGAACATACTAAGATCTAAACTTTGGCAGGGCTCTTTTTGTAGCAGGAACTCCTTTGCATATTAGGCGACACACCCCTACTGTAGCCAATCCTCTAAGAGCTTGCAGAGCTCTTCTTACAGGGGCTACTGTAAGCTCTTGGAGGATTGACTACATTAGGGGTGTGTCGCCTAATATGCAAAGGAGTTCCTGCTACAAAAAGAGCCCAAGTCACATTATTTGTGCATCTAGATTCTAACGCTGTGCTGTCTATTCTGACTGGCAGGATCTCAAGCAGAATGAGTCTTTCCTGAAACTTACTATCCCAGATCCTTTACCTGGAGTTGCCAATGTACTGAATCTGGGACGTTCTACGTGCAATGCATGTGCTGTACCACTGAGTCATGGCCACTCCCCAGATGTCTTCCCAGCCAAATGTGTCATGGCACCCCTCCCCCAATAAGGCTCCCAGAACACATTGCTGAGTCTTGACATGTCCACTATTTCAAAAATGCCACTGTTTTACTTCTTCCAGCTGTTTAGTTTCTTTCTTTCTTTTTTGGTCTCTCGTTCTTCAGCCTCACTGGAGTCGAAGGTAGTCACAGGGACAGTGGCACAGAGTCTTCCAGAGACTGATTTAAGAATGTGTCTTTTAAAAGGTAAGGAACTTCCTGAGCTGCTCTAGAGCATTAGGGCTATGAATGTATTGATATATACAGATGTCCTTCTGGTCATCGCACTGTATCTATTCAGGCAATGAATCTCCAGATTCTCACACTCATTCTGCAGACTGGTTCCATCAATGTGCTCAGTGGCCAATGAGGAAGGAACTGTTTGCACAAGCAGTCTATTCAGCATGGACAACATGAATTCTAATATAGGAGCTACAAACGTGTACAAATTGTGGCTCCCCTTTCAGGAGACAAAAACCCATCCATCCCCTATCCCCCCCCAGATGTGCCTGCTTGCATGTGTTCATAGCTCCCACATTACCAGGAGTGGACTGGGAAGTGGAAACAACCCTGGAGAAAGTCAAGCTGAGCCCTTCCTGCTGTGCTACAAGCCAGTACAGAAGGAGGCGGTTAGTGAGCTGACCCCAACTGCCATGGCTGATGGCTTGAGTCAAGCAGCCCCTAAGGCTTCAACAGAGTTGCTAGGGCTTGGCTGTAAGTTTTCCTGTAAGTTAAATGGCCAGTCTGCTCCTGCATGTTAGACTGTTACGTGGGTAAACTGCTCGCATGAACATTTTTTTTTTACTGCAAGTTACTGTAAGATGTCAAAACTAGACCAGTCAGAGGAGGAATTCCATCCTTGTTCCTACCCACACATGTAGTTAACCTTTTTCTTGGATATGAAATTTTCCCAACTGTCTCTTTGTATGAGATGACTGCATAAACTGAAGAACGAAAGCACTGATAGCTTGATCCCTATGCACAAACACTGGAAATGGTCTATGTTCAGTACGACTTTTACTTCCAAGTAAGTTAGGCTTGCCAAGCCCCTGCTGGGGGCGGGAGAACCCCCGCTTTAAACCCCCTCTACCCACTTTTAAAAAATTGGGCCCCCGGGGGGGGGATGGCGTCTGGAAGTGACGCTCTAGTTCAAGTCTCTATGGCTATGAAAGCCATAGAGACGAGGACTACAGCGTCAGTTCCCTCTAGTGTGCGCCAGTTAGGCTAGAGCACCATCTGCTCGAGGATTATTTAGAGCTGGCCAGCAGGCGGGTAAGTGGGACAAAAAACCAGAATGAGTGTATGTCTCTTCCTCTGTGTGTGTGTGAGAAAGAGAGAGCAAGAGAGACTTTGCCTGGGAAGTGGGGGGGGGGTGCAGAGCCAGCAGGCAGGAGAGTGTGAGAGAAAGAAGCCTGTATGTCTCTGTGTGTGTGTGAAAGTTTGGTGTGGGGGGGGGGGGGGGGGGGGTTGCAAAGCCGGCAGGGGGGGGAGTGGGACAAAAAGGGAACCCGTGTATGTCTGTGTGTGTGTGTGAAAGGGAGAGAGGAAGAGCCTGCCTAGGGGAAAGAGAGAATGAGTGTGTGTGTTTCACCCAAATCAGAGTTGGATTCCTTAAGGAGTCCTTTGCCTCTGTCTCTGCTTTTGCAGAAGTTAGTCAGTGGCTCACAGATTGGTGACTGAAGCCTCTCATGTGAATAGTAAAAAGAGCTTCTTTCTTGGCTCAGGTGAGAGAAAGTTGCTTTTCTTCAAAAACCTCCATCCTTGGGTCAAGATCAGACAACTGAACTTTGGGCTAGTTACTGATCCCTCTATTGTGTTACACTGGGTGCTGCATTTTCCCATTGGCAATAAAGGCTAACCATCAGGCAGCAATCCTAAAAACATTTCCCTGGGAGGTTTAAAAATAGGGACACTTCTGAGTAAACTGGCTTGGGATTGCTTATTCAGAAACCTTCTGGTTGAAAGAGAATTCTCTTTAAAATATACATAAATAACAGTTCTTTTTCAGTTTCTGTTTCTGATCCAGAACATATATTTTTCACCAAGCCCTGGACCAAGATGATTGATAATTCTATCAATCTAAAAAATAAAATAGCCACTTAGAATATTACAATACTGTACAGAAGTCAACCATTAAAAGCCATCCCAAGCAAGGATTTAAAGCTCTTCTGGAAAATGTTAAGGCTCAAACTTTGGAGAGAATGTAGAGTGAATGCTAAAGCTGTAGGACAGACACCAAGTGTGCTAGTGTAATTTTGTGGTACAGACTTGGTACAATCTACTAGAATATTCTGAGCAGATCACTTCAGAAAGGGACGGAGATGCACAAAATTTCTTCTGTACCTCTCTGCTTCATTCCTACTGGGCTTGTGCAGGAGATGTTTTCGGGTTCATTACAACATTGGGGCATTTAGGAATATTTTGCAATGTCCTCCAAAATTACAGTGGCTCAGTTCAAACGTAACACAAGGCCATGATTTAACTAAACTTTGATTAATGTGCCTGAATGCAGGCCAATCTACTGGTTAATATCTGAAACCATAGTTTAAAGATGGATAACTAAACCAAAGCCAATCTTAGCTCTGGTTTTATGGACTGTATGAATGAAGCCATGCTGACTTAACACTGGCTGGTTTCTTAGCACTGTTTTTACTTATCTCTGAATATACAAGATGTCTGGCCAGAGCGAAGGTGAAACCTCCATTTTTTAAGGCAAACCAAGATCTGGGTAATCATCTGTAAGCCAAATCCTGTTTTCATAAACTAACCCAGTTTTTGGATCTGAAGTAGGCCCATGAAAAGTTCACTCTCAAAGTCAGAGGTGGCCCAACCCATTAAAGGTTCTATATATTCTTATGTCATACCTGAACAGCATGGGAGCTGCTTTCTTGTGTCTTTTTACCATGTGACAACTGAACAGTAAAGGATTCCACCGGAACCCAGAAAGCATGAAAATATGTAATGGATATAGCAGCCTGCTGACTGGAATGCATCAGTTAGAATTTTTCTGCTACTTTTAAAAGTTCAAAAAGCCAATTACCACCTTTGCTTTCAGCCATAATTTCAACACAAAGCATAATTTTGCGTTACTGTATATCATGTGGTTATGTTTGAAGCATGGGTGCATATAATGACTGCAATTTTTGGCTACTTTCAATGGGGAATAGGTGGGGGTGGGAAGTGATATACAGCAGTGTATTTAAATTTGAATTTTGAAAGAAGGAAGTGACTTCAGAGGAAGAGGTGGGTTTGGGGCAGTGTTCTGGAAGTGACATAATTGGAAGGGGTGGAGCGTGAGAAGTGACATCACTTGACCTTTGACCTGGAAGTGACATCACAAAAGTTATGTCATATCCTGGCTCTACCCCCAAAGTCTCCTGGCTCCACCCCCGAAGACCTTAGATATTCTCTGAGTCAGACTTGGCAACCCTAAAGTAAGTCCACACAAGATTGCAGCTTGTATTCTTTAATGGAAATAAACCCAACTTCACCCTCTAGAAGGCAAGCAAATCTGCACACCAAGAAGCAATGTAATGCAGTAGATAGTGTTGGGTCAGAGTTCAAATTCTACTCAGCCACAAAGCTCACTGAGCCAGGCATCCTATTAGCCTAACCCACCTCAAAGGATTGTTGTGAGGATACGATAGAGGAGAGAACAACATTATACTGATCTTCTTAGAGAGAGGTAAGTGTAGCAGGTCAGCATAGTTTGTATAATCTCCTTTGAATGCAGTTTTGATGGGGATATTCAGGATGTAAGAAAATTAAGGGGTCCAGTGGCACCTTAAAGGTTAACAACCTTTATTCCTGCATAAGATTTCAGGAGTGAGAGCAAAGATTATGCGGGAATAAATTGTGTTAGTCTTTTAGCTGCCTCTGGACTCGTTTTCTTTTAGAAGAAGAGTAGGTTTTCATAACCCACTTTTCTCTACCCTAAGGAGCCTTCCCTTCCTCTCCCCATAACAAGACACCCTGTGAGGTAGGTGGGGCTGAGAGAGTTCTGAGAGAACTGTGACTGGCCCAAGGTCACCCAGCAGGCTTCATGTGGAGGAAGAGTGGGGAACCAAACCTGGTTCTCCAGATTAGAGTCTGTTGCTCTTAACTATACCACGCTGGCTCTCTTTTGCTGCTACAAGCTAACAGGGCTACCCATACAGAATCAAAGATTCCTTTTAATGCAAGGACTTTGTCATGGAAGAAAGGATGAAGCAGAAGGTACAGAAAGCATGCTAATACAGTCTTAAGCTGGAGGAGAAAAGCAGGCAACTGCAGGCCATAAAAGCCCTGGGAGCTGGATCAAAAGATGATCTTGTGTGAACAGAATCTGTTGTAGTCCCTTCTGCCTTTCTGAGAAACTGTTCTGGATTCTCAAAAGATGCAGTTGTTTGCAAATGCTTTCATTCAGCACCCCCTTTGTGTGATTGAAGGTGCATTCTGTTCATGCTATGGGATCTTTGGCTTATAGTCCCCGTCCTGAAATACGAGACACCTGGATCAAGCTCCTTTTGCTTTGGAATGTTTGAGACAGTTGTCCTGATTCTTGTGATTATTTTCATCTCAGGTTTACAGTCCATTACACTTTGGTGTAAGGTGACTCTTGAATGCAACCCTTTGTTTGCAGGAATTGGAAGTCTAACGCAACGTTGCAATGTGCTGAGTTTGAGCAATGCTGCTGGCTTTCAAGATTTTATTTGAACTCCTATGACCTAGACTTTCAATCTGTCCTCTTGAGTTTCTAACCTGAATCCAAACTGTTCACCAGACCTCATTTACTGGTGCACTTATGTATTCTTTACATAGTGGAAGAAAAGTCGAGCGCCATTCGCTTGAGGAAGGAAAATAGATTTTGAAGGGTACTTTTTGTCTGAGGTTTCTTTATTGGGCATTTGAAATGCACATTCACCACCCCAGATCAATTTGATTTTTTTTAAATTGCACCTGCTTTTAAAAAGGGGTCATCTTCCACTTAGCTTAGTGTGGCTGCTCCAAATCAAGAATGCAAGAAGCTCTTAAAACAGGTATTAATTTAATTAAAAGGGATGCAATTTTCCCACTAAAGCCACTGAGACTCCTTCTGTTCTCTGACAAGGGTGGAACATGATCATAGCAGAAAACACTCTATAATGGTAGCTGCTGGACATGATAGTAAACGTTTTCTTTGGACAACAACCAATGAATAAAGGACATTCTTGTGTACACATTTGCATACATGCACACACTCTTCCTCTGCTTCAGCTTCTGTTTAGTATCCTTATATAGAAGAAAGCTGACCAAGGGAGAGCTGAACTGCTGGTACCAGTTGGCACCCTTCACAGGCAACCTGGCACAGAACCGATTTCTACAGGGCATGTGTGAGTTTTGCAGCTCTGGTTGCTTTGTATAAGGCAGGACTTGCAGCTGCAAAGAATTTGCTCCCACGGAAATAGACGGCGTCCCTTTCTTATTTGTGGAGGGGTTTTTTTCACCAAATCCATATTCCAATCTAACGGGTGCACTGTAGAGTTTCATCCCTATTGCCTTGGCTGAATATCCTGCAACTCCACAATGTTAGCAGGATGAGAGAGGACTCTCACCTCTTCAGCTACTGCCTAATAGGAAAAAGTAAAAGTAATTTGTAGAGGAAACGTCTCACTGCAACTTCAGTCAATCCAAGGGTGTGTGCAGTGTGCTGAAGAGGCCTGTGCTGGCAAGTGCTTGCCTTGTAAACTGCGGCGAAGAACCTGGCAAGGTTCTAAAAATAAATGGCAGGAGGTTCAGTGCATTGGGGAGGGCAGCAAAGGGTAGTGGCCAGAGGCAGCAGGCCTTGTTGAGCCATCACCAGTGTTCCCTCTAAGCTGAGTTAGTGTGAGCTAGCTCACAATTTTTTAACCTCCAGCTCACAGATCTTTGTCTTAGCTCAGGAAGGATGGCTCCACAGCAAACTAATTTATGCAGTAGCCAAATTGCTCACTCATAACTTTAATCTTAGTAGCTCGCAAAGTAGAATTTTTGCTCACAAGACTCCACAGCTTAGTGGGAGCACTGGCCATCACTGAAGGCAGCTGCTTCTGAATGGTTGGTGTAGTGGTTAAGTGTGCAGACTCTAATCTGGGAGAACCGGGTTTGATTCCCCACTCCTCCACTTGCACCTGGAAGGATGACCTTGGGTAAGTCACAGTTCTCTCAGAGCTGTTCTTGAAAGAGCAGGTTCTCTGAGAGCTCTTTCAGCCCCACCTACCTCACAGGGTGTCTGTTGTGGGGAGGGGAAGGGAAAGGAGTTTGTAAGCTGCTCTGAGACTCCAAGTGAAGGTGGGATGGGGAGTGGGGGGGATTAAAAAGGCTAAATACTAGGGTTCATACTACGGTAAATACTAAGACTAAATACTACGGTTTCCCCCCCCCCCCAACCTAATATTTCTACAGATCATCGGAATTTGACTTTTGACCCAGCCACAGCTAACAAATACCTGCATATGTCTGAACAGAACCGGAAGGCCAAGCACACTCGGGGCTTTTACAGTACATTGCCTCATGGTGACCCACAGAAGTTTGAGCCATGGCAGATCCTGTGTGCCCAGCAGTTCACCGAGGGCAGTAACTACTGGGAAGTCAAGCTGTCTGGTCAGTCTGTCATTATTGGCATTGCTTACAAGAGAATCTCAAGGAAGAAACAGGCTGGTCGCACGTTCACCATTGGGCTAGATAAGCTGTCCTGGGGCTTGCACGTCCAAGAAGATTGTTATTTGGCCTACCACAATGGTGAATCTAAGAAGATAAAAGAGTCCCTGTGCAAATTCATTGGAGTCAAGTTGGACTATGACCAAGGAGTCCTATCCTTCTATGGCATAGAAGACCACATGAAACACCTCCATTCTTTCCACAGTGTCTTTACAGAGCCCCTTTGCCCCATTTTTTGGCTTTGTGAAGGCACAGCAGTTACCCTTTGCCAAAAGAGCCAAGGCCAAAGTATAGCTGATGGCATGCTTCCGGACTCACAGGCAGTTTCTGATGCTGCGGAGCAACCAGGAGATGGACAGATAGCTCTGGAACACCGATAGCGAGTCTCTTGAATGATCTATATCCTTCTAAAATGGTGGTGCCTAAAACTGAACACAATGTTCTAGGCATGTAAGTCAGCAGGTGAAGGAGTATTGTTTTGACTGTTCTCTTGAGGCATCTAGGGTTGGCAATGAAAGCTCACAGTTTTGTTTTTTGCTGTTTCCCTCACACATAACCACAAAAAAGGATGCGAAGCATTTTAAAGCCTAAAGGAAGAAAGAACCTTTCCTTGTCTGGGCGAGATATAAGATTGCCAAGTTATTTCCTGTTCTTTTTCTGTGTTTGTTTTTTTTTTACCTCTGGTTTCTGAATAACACTCTTGCTTTATTTTATTTTTCTGCTGGAAACCTGACAATGGTCTCACATAACTGACAAGGCCTGTCCTACCAACAGAATTGGCCTGGGGTGCCTTACCACCAGGGTCACAGCAGAAAGTGAGGGGGCACAATATATAGGCCTATGAACTGAAAACAACAATCATTTCATTGCCCAAATTAGGGCTGTAATTCTAAAATATTAAGAGATGTCTTAGTTGTCCAGATAATCAAAGTATTTTGCTGGACTTCTTGGAGTTTTCTAGGATTTGAATAATAAGGCAACTGGGTATTTTTCTGAAATGTCATATTTAAGAATAACTCAATATCTTACTTTGAAAATGAGTGACCAGAAAAACTTGCAAGATGGGACCATCAATTTAGCGTGGGACTTACAAAAACAATGAGGAGAGATCAGTTTGAAAACAATAAATGCTATATTTTAATTCTATCATTTTCTCAATAAACTGCCCATATAAAAGACAATACATCTGTCACCAAATGCAGAGCTGGAGTCGGTCTCTTTCTTACAAAGAATGTTGCTACCTTTTGTGGCATAATAGAAAAGGATCCATTTAACTCGAAAGTTGGATGTATTTGTTGGGTTTTATTATTTATTTACTTATTTGTACCCCCACCCTCCCTGCCGAAGCAGGCTCAGGGTGGCTTACATGAAATTATCACAGATAAAACAGCAATATAAATATCAACATAAAACACAACATAATTACTAAAAGCAATTTGTATGGTGTATGGTGGTGGTGCAATAGTAGCAGTAAACATAGTAAATTACTGTCAGCAGATGATTTTTCGATTGACAAGCACAGGCTGGATGGTGGCGTTGGGCACAGGGTCTTAGATTGTTAAGGGCGGCTCCTTACCTGAAGGCCTGGTGGAAGAGCTCTGTTTTACAGGTCCTGCAGAACTGTAAAAGGTCCCACAGGGCCCTGATCTCTTCCGGGAGCTCATTCCACAGGTTGGAGCCTCCACTTAGAAGGCCCTCGGCCAGGGAGGGCCAGACAATTTTAAGACTCTGACTGTAGTGCTGTCTGGGGAACATGTGGGGAAAGTCGGTCCCTCAGGTAAGTAGGTCCCTGATCATAAAGGGCCTTAAAGGTAAGCACCAGCACCTTGAAGCGAATTCGGTACACTATAGGCTGCTACTGCAGTGGTTTTAGTGCAGGCTGGATGTGCTCCCACATGGGGAGACCCAACAACAGCCTGGCCACTGTGTTCTGCACCAGCTGAAGCGTCTGGATTTGGGTCAAGGTCAGCCCCATGTAGAGAGCATTACAGTAGTCTAGTCTCGAGGTGACCACTGCGTGGATCAGTGTCGCCAAGTCGTTGCGTTCAAGGAAGGGAACCAACTGCCTTATCAGCTGAAGATGGTAAGAGACTGACTTAGCAGTGGCTGCTACATGGGCCTCCATCGTTAGGGAAGTGTCCAGGAGCACTCCCAAACTCCTAACCTCTGATGCTGGCACCAACAGCACCCCATCGAAGGACCACCCGCCCCTTGCTCCGGGATTGATGGAGGGCCAAGTCCACGGGAGAGAGCCACTGTCTCCCCGATTCGCACCCAAGTCTTCGTCATGCGCACCAGGTCCACATCCTGCTCCACCAGGAAGTCCCAAAGGACCATGGTCTTATTATTTATGGCCCAAGCATTACACAGCACCAATGTCAGAGAGGGGTCTTTTGGCCTAGTCCCACTGTCTACTGTTGAGCTTCAGGATGGGACGCAGGCTGGAAGCCGAGCTCCTCTACTTCTCCACCCCCTTTGCTTCCATTCATACCTGGTCCCACCGCTATACTTTCCCGTCCCCAGGAGCACTGGTATCCCTTGCTCAGTCATTGCCGGTAATTAGTGGTCTTCACCAAACTAATAGGCTAACTGGCAGTTGGAATAACCTACTGTGCTATTAGTAACAGTTAACAGTTCTCCCAATACTGCTAAACCCTGGTTAATCCCAATCTTTTTTAACAGAAAGCCATTTTACCTGACCAATCTGACAATTTAATTACAAACAATATCTAGTTCGCCTGGCCAGTAAATTAAATAAAGGCCAGAGACCAGCACAACATGCAGTTTGTATTATAATTCTAGTTCAATTTGCCAAAGTATATAATCAATTCTAATTCATCAAATATAAATCAATTCCACTATAATAGGTTAGTTAGACCACAATAAGTACTTAATTAATTAACTTAGCCAATTCATCTATTCAAATGGTTGTTCACTTCCTTCAGTTTATACAATCTGAATCATTCATTGCCCCAAAATTGATTAATAATTCTCCATTCCAAGCACTGAGTCAATTAAACCCCAATTAATTAAGCTAAACTTATAACCTAATAGCAGCTCAATTTAATTAAGCTGTTATTAATAAGATCTATAATTTCTCTCCTAATTGGACGTATTTGATAATCACCTATAAATCCCAGTAACATTGGAATGGAATAACCTGTAAATTTTTAAACATGGTATGTTGTTAAATTCCAAAACTGTTGAGCTTTGATACATGACCCTCACATGTGGTAAAGTGCCTGTCTACATTTCCTCCAACATAGATAATCATCCTTATAGGTGTGTTGTAGTCTATCCAAACATCACTGTGTGAAAAAAAACCTGACGACTAATTCTTTTATATACAAATGAATTAAAATATGAGTCATATTTAGGATCTGTATTCTAACAATATGAACTCAGAATTATATACAGAAGGCAAATGAGTCCATGTAAGTGTTAAGGGCAATCTAGTATAATTTTCTCAAATTGCATTGATTCCCTAGTAATTTGTGTCAATTTCAGGAGTGGTACCTACCTGAGGATCCTCCTGAATTCACTCAGTAGCTTACTGTCCAGATTTTAGTGGACTTCTTCTACCTGAGATCTGTTGGCCTAGATTTAGGGCTACCCTAGTTCACATGCCACACAACAATGTGGATCACAACAAACTATGGCAGGTCCTTAAAGAGATGGGAGTACCAGACCACCTCACATGTCTCTTGAGAAACCTGTATAAGGGTCAAGAAGCGACAGTTAGAACAGGATATGGAACAACTGATTGGTTTCGCATAGGAAAAGGAGTACGACAAGGATGTATATTGTCCCCTTGTTTATTTAATTTATATGCAGAGTACATCATGCGAAATGACAGCCTGGATGATTCAGAAGCCGGGAAAGACTGCTGGGGAAAACATCAACAACCTCAGATATGCTGACGATACCACTCTAATGGCAGAAAGTGAAGAGGACCTAAAGAGCCTCTTGCTCAGGATAAAAGAGGAGAGTACAAAGGTTGGCTTGAAATTCAACATCAAAAAAACTAAGATCATGACATCCGGCCCCATCACTCCTTGGCAAATAGAAGGAGAAGTCATGGAAGCAGTGACAGACTTCACGTTCCTGGGATCCAAGATCACTGCAGATGGTGATTGCAGCCATGAAATTAAAAGATGCCTGCTCCTTGGGAGGAAAGCGATGGCAAACCTAGGAAGCATAATAAAAAGTAAAGACATTACCCTGCCAACAAAAGTCCATATGGTCAAAGCAATGGTATTCCCAGTAGTACTATATGGCTGTGAGAGTTGGACTATAAGGAAGGCCGGGCGCCGAAAAATAGATTATTTTGATTTATGGTGCTGGAGAAAACTCTTGAGAGTCCCCTGGACTGCAAGAAGATCAAATCAGTCAATCCTAAAAGAAATCAACCCTAACTGTTCTCTTGAAGCCCAGATACTGAAGCTGAAGCTCAAATACTTTGTCCACCAAATGAGAAGGGAGCACTCACTGGAGGAGACCCCGATGCTGGGAAGGTTTGAAGGCAAAAGAAGAAGGGGACAGAAAAGGATGAGATGGTTAGACAGTGTTATCGAGGCAACGAACATGAAATTAAGCAAACTCCGGAGCATGACAGGAGAGCCTGGCATGATGTAGTCCATGGGGTCGCGAAGAGTCGGACTCGACTATGCGACTGAACAACAGCAACTCACCCTGCCCTCTCGTCCCCTGATCTCAGCCTCCCTACAGTTGAAAACCTAAGCATGCTTACTAGGAAAAAAGTCCTGCTAATTTAGCACGATTGATTTTGAAGAAAATATGGTTATACTCAGGCTGCTCCTTCCTTACCTCATCTCGCCCCTCACAGACTAAACAAGAAGGAGCAGTAGGATGAAATGCATGTTTATTCCTCCAAAACATATTTTTATGTACTGGCTCATTCTTTCATAGCCTTTCCTCCTTGGGTCAGTGTTGGAGGGGAATCTTGCAGTTTCCTTCCTTCAAATTTTGTGTCTCCCTTTGCCTGCCCCAGTTTACTACTACTACTAACATATGAACTAAAAGGGAGCAGGGCTTTGTGGTAGCAGGGCAGAAGCCTGGTTCCTCAGCATTTGGATAAGTACCTAAAGATACTGTTCCGTGATTAGCTGGTAAGAAGGTGGTAGCATGTTCAAATTCAGCTGGGAGGAGGTTTATTAGAGCTGTAAAGTCACACCTGAGCTCTCGCTACTGCCCTGACCTGTCTGCAAGTCTCTTAAGGGGATCCCTCTCCTTAGCCTAGCTTGCTCAGATATGCTACTGTTCAACATTTCCCAACCTAAACCTTCTACAGAATTTGAAAAAGTGTGCATGCACACGAAAGCTCATACCTTGAATAAAACTTTGTTGGTCTTAAAGGTGCCACTGGACTCTAATTTTTTTCTACTTCTACATATGTCATGGTAGAGGCCTATGAGCGGTGGCGCATGGCGTTAAACAGCCTGCAGGTTAATCTAGCCGAACTGCCGATGGCAGTTCGAGTCCCACTGCGGCCGGGGTGAGCTCCCGGCCCTTTGTCCCAGCTCCTGCCCACCCAGCGGTCCGAAAGCCTGCACGGGCAAGTACGTAAATGAATACCTGCTCCTTATGAGCAGGGGGCACCTTTCCTCCGTGATTGGTGTTTTAAAAAGCAGTGGCAATTGGTGTGGAGTCGATACGAGGATGGCGGTGAAGAGGAGAGACCGGTGCCTGGAGAGCATGACGCTGCAACAAAGACTGGAGCTGATTGGACAAAGAGTCGAGCTGCCTTGTTCATGTTCTGTGGGGGCCATCTGCTGGAAAGGAGCCGCTACTGCAGAGAATCAACACTGGACACCGCCGAATCCAAAAGAAAGATCCTACTGTTAGGTGCCTTGTTAGGAAAAATATCCTCCCCTCACCATTGTACCCCTGGCTTAGATAGAAATTGTATGTCTGTAAACCGCTCTGAGCCTCATGGATAGGGCGGTATATAAATCGCAAGTGTAATGTAATATGATAGAAGCAGAGATGAATAGAAAGTCTGGTCAATGGTGAGTGGGGAATACAGCTGCTTAGACCTTCAGTGGCGCTTGGGGAAATACACATGCAGTGGACACATTCTGGAAGGCAGGGTACTACAGTGCCTTCCAGTATATGGTCACACATCTTTATTCCTGCTGTATTCACAGTGGCCAAGCAGAGGCAGAAAGTATTTCTTTACTGAATACAGTTATTCCTGCATAATTGGTAGGACTCCATAAGAAATTTGGGGGCATCCTTATGGGGCTCAGGCACTTCAGGGTAGCTAGCCCTTCATACAAATGAAATATGTATATTTACATATTAGATGCATGAGTAACAAGAGCTGTATGATGTTAGTGTGTGAAATCTCTTGTAACAAAAATAAAGCATTTTCATATTCTTAACAAAACTGTGTCCAAACATTTTTACCATGCCACAAATAAAATTCAAATTTGGTTGTGTTACCAGAGGACAGATAAAAGTTGCTTTGACTCTGCATCTAGGCCACCAGTTGTTAGGGTTACCTACTAGCCTGAAGAAAAATCTCCCGCCCCTTCAACCAGAGGTTTAACGGGGAGTTATTTCCATGCCATGAAAAGCTTCAGCTGCCCATTTCCACACATAAATATCCATTAAAGGAGCAGGACACTTTTTTCCATGCCAACTCACAGCCCTACCAGTTGGTCCTCTCTGCTTCAGGCTGAACATGATCTCTGCTGAATTAGGCCAAGGCTCTAGCTTTGAAGGTTCTCCTTAGTCATGATGACTCTAAGCGGGTGTGGCGTCTCCTCAGTTCTTACATACACCCTTCCTCAGCTGGGAAGGGCCAGGTGTCATCATTGCACCGTCTCCAAACACCCAGCATCTTTCTCAAACCCAGAGCTATAGCAGGAGACTGTTAACTCCTATGGATGAAGCGTGAACCAATCAACCTGGATCCAGCATCTGCCTGAGGCCAACAGCCCTACCAATAAATGTTAATTACAACAAACCGGACCATGGTGTATTTAACTAAGTAAAACACTAAATCACCATGTATAGTTTTACAATTTTAAAAAAATCTTTTTTAATATTATGCTAAGTATAAATGTTTAGAGTATTTTTGAATGATTCATTAACAGGAACACAGCCTATTCATTAATCATGAAGCTTGACAGTAGATTCAGAATACTATAACTCCTGTAGTAATATTTGCAGCCAGTAATAAGGTCCTAATAAGGTCTTAGGCTCAAGGTCCTAATGTAATTCACTTATTACAAAGGGGGAAACAACTTAAGACAAACAATGGCGTTCTAGTAATCATTCTGTTTGCGTACTCTTCATCAGGTTTGTCTGTTGTTGATTCATCACAGTCTTGAAGTACTGAAGGCTGCAGTAAAATAACAGCCTTAATAAACTATATACAAACATGAAGTTTTCCTTTACAATAGAAAGCATATTGCATTTTATAAACTCACCAATATTTCAAGATTCTTAATACTATTTCGTATACTCTATTGGTGCCCTTCAGGTTGAGCCTAAGACAAGACCTTATTACTGGCTGCAAATATTACTACAGGAGTTATATTATTCTGACTGTACTGTCGAGCTTCATGATAAATGAATCAGCTGTGTTCTTGTTAATGAATCATTCAAAAAATAAACATTTATTTAGCATATTTTTAAAAAGTAAAAAAAAAAAGTAAAACCATACACGGTGATTTAGTGTTCTGCCAATAAATCCAGAAGCGCTAGCACGAAATTAAACTCCCATGATGACAAAAGCCCGGGAAGAATCCTGTCACCTACCATATGGGCGGGGGGGGGGGGTGTCGTTCTTTAGAACAACCGGCAGAGAGTCACTTTTCCTGGATCCCGCAGGGTGAGAGAGGGCTCCTCGAAAGAGGAGCCGTCTGTGGGGCCAAGAGAACGGGGGCCATGCCTTTGCCACGTCCCCTACGGAATCCCCGCGAGGGGCGGGGAGAGGAGTTGTCCTGTAAGCGAAGACGCTGGACTGAACGAAGGCCTGGTTTCTCTCTTCGCGCGTCCCGTGGAAAGAGGGAGTCATTCAGAGTTGGAAGAATCCCGCTCTCTTCCCCGGAAGGCTGGCCCTTCCCGTCGCGTCTCGCTCCCAGGCTGGCCAGAGCGCTGCCTCTCGCGGAGATGAGCTCCCTTCCCGATGGGCGGAGTTGGCGCTCTTCCTGCCCGCCCTGCCCTGATTTTGGGACGGGGACCAGCCCGGCCGGGCGCTCTGCGCTTTCCTGAGAAGCATGGATAAGGGTTCCTGCCCCACCAGCCCCGCTGCCAGCCTCCAGGAAGGCCCCTTCAGCTGCCCCATCTGCTTAGACGCTCTGAGGGACCCGGTCACCACCCCTTGCGGCCACAACTTCTGCCTGAGCTGTATCGGAGTGCACAGGCACCACCCGGCGCCGGGGGGCGCCACGGGAGCCGGGGGCCAGAGCGCCGCTAGGTGCCCTCTGTGCCAGGAACCCTTCCCGGCGGACCTCCAGCTCCGGAAGAACCACACCCTGGCCGAGCTGCTGCAGCTCCGGCAGCCGGCCTCGAGTAGTCCGCGCGTGGCCATGTCCCCCGAGGAGCCGCCCGAGCCGTGCGCTTCGGAGAGGTCCCCCCGCCGGCCCGAGGGCCCAGATGCCCAGCCAGAGGCGGTGCTGTGCGACTTCTGCACCGGGGGGGAGCGCGCCAGGGCGGCGCAGTCCTGCCTCGTCTGCCTCGCGTCCTTCTGCGCTCCCCACCTGCAGCCTCATCTCAAAAGTCCCGCTTTCCAAGGCCACCGGCTGGCGCCGCCCTTGCGGCACATCGAGGAGAGCCTCTGCAAGCTGCACCTGAAGCCCTTGGAGAGCTTCTGCCGGACGGATCAGAGCTGCATCTGCCACCTGTGCAGGGCCCAGGAGCACCGGAGCCATGAGGTCGTGGCGGTCGAGGTGGCGCGGGAGCAAGTGGAGGTGGGTAGGGCGGCCAGGCACCAAAGGGCTCCTTTGTGCAGCCGTGCGCCGGCAGACGGAGGGGCGTCGCGGCGCACTTTCGTGGAGGTGCCTGCTGCAAACTTCGCTCACAAGCTAGACGGAGTGAGATGGCGGCCCCTGTTGATGCTGGGCGCATTCGGTGTTTGGAGCATTGCTAGGGAGGGGTTGTGGGGGGGGGGGAGCGTCGGAAAGTTTCTGGCAGCAAATGAGTGGCAAGACGCCTTGAATGTGGGGTGCCGGAAAGGCAGCAGGCAGTGCCGTCGTTTGCAGAATTGTTCCTACTGGAGACTGTGGAAACATATTGCAGTTGAGGCCGGGGAAAGCACTTTGCGCGTTCCCGGAGTGTACTTTTTAAGACGAGGAGTGTCCATGGGGTCGTGAAGAGTCGGACTCGACTGTGCGACTGAACAAAAATTATGGTTGGATTCATCTGAAAGCTCTGCCCTTTAACGGTATAGACCTTTCTGCTAGGGTTCAAGTACTCCATGGTGAAGGAAAGGCTCCGAATAGTTTGTTTAGTTTTCCAAAAGGAGAGGTGCTGGGGCTACTATTTGCGCAGGACAGGAGAATTCATATCCCTGTAACTAGAAATGGGAGTGGACAAGAAGACCTGAGCAAATAGTGCTCTTCTGGGGCCATTTCAGATAAGAAAAACGGGATGGTAGGGAGGTCACAATCTGAATTGGGGGCCCCTATGCTTGGGAAATGGATTCCTGGCAACATGGCAGGATTCCTGGCAACTGATGGACTGAAATTTGGCTCAAGAAGTCTAGACGCAGCCTATTAGGAACTGTAATAGTTTGTCCCTAGTCCTACGGCCAGTTCATATGAGCAACAAGAATATTACAGTGCAGTGATTGGGGGAATTCCAGATCTGTTAATAGCGAAGGAACGCACAAATGCAAACAAAATAGGGAGGAATTGTAGAGCAGCTACTTTGTACGCGAAGGTTCCAGGTTTTATTACTGGTATCTCCATTAAATAGTTTCAAAAGGAACACAGCTGGAAAATACCACTGCCTAAGGCTGATCAGAGTAGACCATACTGGGCTGGATGGACCTGTGGTCTTACAGTATAAAGCAGTTTCATGTATTTAGCAATTCCAGCTGAGAGCAAAGTTCAAGGGGATCCTGAGAAACAGGATAAAAAATTAGGATGCAATGCATGTAGTTGATGCAGCATGAACATACTATAGTCCTTGTCCCATGGCTGAAGTGGCAGAGGGCAAGGATACTGGCAGGGCCATATCTGAGGAATCCTAGGAATGCTGTTGCTAAGGAATCTGTAAGGCCGAGAACACAGTTTGTGTTTATAGAGGTGCGATACAGGCACACGTGTGTTGCAATAATGCCATTTTGTCTTCATTTTAAAGTAGGAATTTGGGGGTGGTTGCAGAACTGGGCTTCCAAAATATGGAACTGCTGATCCATGATGGGGGTGCAAGGAAAGCTGGTGTACTAGAACAAGTCCAGGTTGCCCAACTATCCCTGCATGACTGGACTGGAAGTTTAGTTGTCAAAGCATAAGGATGAGAGGCTGTTGATTTGGATAGAAGCTGATTGTGTGGACAGAGTGCACAGCAAGGGAGTGTTTGAGAAGTTATTGTGGGATGCATTAGTTGCCATTCCCTTCCCCCCCCAGTGGCCCACTGCATTCTGTAGTCAAGCAAGTTTTGCATGTTACTGTGCTGATACTACACTGACTGACTGAACTAGCACAGTCAGATGGCACAATTGTTGTTGGATTAGGACTATTGCTGCACTATCATAAGGGGACATAGTCATTTTCTTTTTTTCCATCCCCCTGGGGGGAGGTTTTTATTGATTTTTTTTACAGACTACAAAACTACAACAGAAAATATAGGGAAGGGAAACTACATCTGGGGGGGAAAGAAAAAAGACCCACAACTAACTAAAAACCCAAGGGTAGGAGATCAAAAAATCAATAAAGCTATTTTCAAAAAGGTACTAATAATACAATGAATTTAGTCGGTTATGCTAGATTAATTATCGTTTAACCATCCCTTTAACTGTTTAAAGAAGTTCCCAGAGCATCCCCAAGTTATTTCAACATCTTTTCAGGCACAAATCAAAGTCCTTCAGCCCTTATTTATTCTTATCTTTTCTAATCCTCAGTTTATATGAGCTTTTGGGGGCAGCCGCCCCCTTTTCAGAGGGGGAGTCCTTGTCTAAAGACCTCAAGCCCAACTCGCCATCAGATTTGCTTTCTTCTTCCTCCCCTTTGCCCTCTTCTGGTTCCTCAAGCTGTGTACGCAGAAATTCACATGCTTTAAAAACAGAGTCAATCTTTTCTTTTTTATCGTTGAGCTTGAAAATGATGCCTTCCGGGATTAACCACCTGTAACTGATGCCATTTGTTTGTAAGAAAAGGGTTAATTCTTTATAGTTCTTTCTCTTCTGCCTTATATCAAATGGAATGCCTTTTAAAATCCTAATATTGTTGCCCCCGATTTTCAAGGGTGTTCCCGAAGTTGCTTTCAAAATAGCATCTATGACATGTCTCTTCGAGAATCTGACCACTATTTCCCCAGGCAGATTATTTTTCTTGATGTACAATGAATAGGACCTGTAGATCACATCCATCTCGCTGCAAAGGTATTCTGCTGTTGAATCTGTCATTGGGGCTATTGCTTCACTCAGACCAAATTTGCTTTATCCATTTGTAGCTGTAAGAGCTTTGACTCTTCCATAGCTTGCTTCATTTCCAGCTTTTGCACATTTTTCTTAACTTTTTTAGTAGTGACGTCCATTTCCTTCACCTTCTCTCCCATTTGCTCTGTTGCTTTTAAGGATTGAGTCAGTTGCATCTGCTGCGCTGCCACACTCTGACCAATTATTGACAGTTGTTGTTTAATGCCAGTGAATTCGTACAGCAGGGGGCGCAGGGAGTCAGCCAAGAGTTTTGAGAGTTCAGTGACCTCATCTGTTCGAGGACTGCCCCATAGTTTCAGTTTCAACAGCTTCTCTTTCTCCGGTTTCTTCCCTGCCATCTTTTTGGATTTGTTTACTTTCCAAAAAAGTTGCTAAAGTCTCTGATATTCGCCCAAACGCTTTTTTGCACTCTGGTAAGTCCCTTAAAACAGTTTTAGTCGCTTATTTTTCCGCTCCCCCCTCTTTCCGTCCATGTTCTGTCTATGCATTTGGTAGGGACCCCTCCTCCACTCGCTTTCCCGTCGCTCTTTAAGGGGGGCAGCTTCTTTTTATATCTTCATGCTCGCTTCAACCTGACTCACAGTTCATTGTTGGCCATTTGGCCTCGCTCGTCATCATTTATTTCGCCCGATCTCCAACGCTTGTCCCAGTCAGCAGCACTCGTACCATGTGGTCACTCAGCGGCAGGACCTTCGGGGCGGAGGGGCACCTCAATTCTCCAGCATTCGGCCATCGAAGAGGTCGCCCCTCAAAAGCCCCCTGGTTGGGAGCCTTTTACCAAGGCTTCAGGGGGGTCGTGACCCGTCGGACCCCCTCCCACATGCTGGTGTGCAGTTTACATCCCCGGGATGTCCGGGAGATGTGTCTGCCTGCGTGTCACCATAAACCGGAAGTCTGGGACATTGTCATTTTCATAAAGGGAGAGCCAGTTTGCTATAGTGGTTAAGAGCATCGACTATAATGTGGGAGAACCGGGTTTGGTTCCCCACGCCGTCACACGCAGCTGCTGGTGTGACCTTGGGTCAGTCATAAATTCTTTCCGAGCTGTGCTTTCAAGGGCAGTTCTCAAGAGAGCTCTCTCAGCCCCACCTACCTCACAGGGTGTCTGTTGTGGGGAAGGGAAGGGCAAGGAGATTGTATGCTACTCTGACACTCCTTCAGGTAGTGAAGGGTGGGGTATAAATCCAATCTCCTCCTCCTCCTTCCATAAAAACTATGCTCCATGCACAGACACTTTTGCCCTTGACAAAAATTACTACAGACTAGAACTGCTACACATCTGGAGTTATTGTAGTAGAAGAAGAAGAGATTGGATTTATACCCCGCCCTTCACTACCCAAAGGAGTCTCAGAGTGGTTTACAGACTCCTTTCCCTTCCCCTTCCCACAACAGACACCCTGTGAGGTAGGTGGGGCTGAGAGAGCTCTGACAGAAACTGCTGTTTTTCAAGAACAGCTGTGCTAGAACTATGGCTTGCCCAAGGTCATCCAGCAGGTGCAAGTGGAGGAGTGGGGAATCAAACCCAGTTCTCCCAGATTAGAGTCCGCGCACTTAACCACTACACCAAACTGGCTTTGTATTCCCTAGCCCGGGCAAAAGTTTTGGTATTGTAAAAATACGGGAACTAACTTTTGTGGAAGATTTGCTCAGAAGCTCAGATTACATGCAGGTTAATACAATAAACCATCTTGAACTTTATGGAAAGGTTAGATTAAAAAAATTAAAATAATTTCAGCTAAGTCAGTTTTCTGCTGGATCTACCCCATTTTCAGAGGAGTCATTGAATGATAATGATAAATGACATACATGCATATGTGAACAAATTGCTCTCAAGTAATTATTTGGGATTGTGGGATTGGGGTGGTCTATGCAAAGCAATAGCAGGAAGTTCACGTCATAGGCTGTGGTTTACGTTTTCATCAATAATAACCATTGTATGTACATGTCACTATGTCCTGGTGTGTAGTAGTCCCGGATGCATTATTAATATTAGCCTGCTTGGTATGATTTTATTGCTTGCATCCTTGTTTGAGTTAAAGAATTGTTTTTCACTATCTTTATAAAATTGGCACTGCCATTGTCACATTATCTGATCTGAAGTTGGCCTTTGCCAGTGAGCCATCTAGTCCAGCATCCTGTTTCACACAGCAGCCAACCACTTGCCCTGGAGGTCATCACACAGGGCACAGAGGCCTTCATCTGATGTTGCTTTGTACCATTGGTATTCAGAGGTTTGTTGCTTCTAAATGCGATGGTTCCCTTTATTTACTATGACTAGTAGCCACTGAAGGACTTCAACTCCATAAT